TTAGGTGTCAGCTCCAGTACCACCTCCTTCGAGAAACCCTTGCTAACCACAGAGGCTAAAATAGCCACCGTCCTCCTCCTCACCCCTTCTCATTCAGGGGCTGGATTGTGTCTGTCCCAAAGTCCATGTTGAAGTCCTAACTCCAGTGTCTCTGGAGAGACAGGGACTTCCAAGAGGTAACGGAGGTAAAAGGAGGTCGTCGGGGTGGGCCCTCACCCGCTGCCACTGGTGTCCTTGCTAGCAGAGGGGACTGGGACACAGGCAGGTGCAGGTCCAGAGGGAGGCCCCCTGGGACACAGGCAGCAGACGGCCAAGTGCAAGCCACAGAGAGAGGCTGAGGTGGAGCCAGCCCTCAGACTCGTGGCCTCCAGAGCTGTGGGGAACCCAATGCCTGTGGTCTGAGCCCCAGGCGGCGGCGTCTTGCTGCGGTACTCCCAGCTGGCAAGCAGCCTGCACCGCCTTGCTTGTGCCTCCTCAAACAGGTGGTTTAGGGGAGTGGATCAGTGCGTAGGCCTGGGGTCTGGGCTACTTCAAGGGCAGCAGCAGTGGCAGCAGCTGGGGCAGGGCCTGGGGAGCCCCACCCGGAAGCCCTCTGTGGTCATGGTAAGGGAGGCGGTGGCAGCTGGTGCCGGGGACCTGGGGGGTGCTGAGTAATAGACAGGAAGGGCCGGGGTGGCCAGGGCCGAGGCTGGCCCAAGAAGGAATGTGGTACCTGTGTGGCACTGGGGATACCTCCTCCTCCTTGGGCTGTTGCCCTCCCTGACCTCGAAGACAGGGTCTCCTTCTAAGCAGGCTATGGCTCGCACTGCACCCCCACGGGCTGCTGGCTGCAGCCTGGCCGAGGACTTTGAGAACCAGCACTTGGGGTATCAGTGCCATCACCCCCTTTTCACTTCTTGTCCAGGTTTGCTTTTTCCTTGAAGATTTATTTTTAAATATTTATTTGATTTCTTTGGAAGGCAGCTTTACAGAGAGAGAGGAAAGACAGAGGGAGAGGGAGAGAGAGAGAGATCTTCCATCCGCTTGTTCTCTCTCCAAATGGCCACAATAGCCAGGACTGGGCCAGATTGAAGCCAGGAGCCAGGAGCTTCTTCCAGGTCTCCCATGTGAATACAGGGGCCCAAGGACTTGGGCCCTCTTCTGTTCCTTTCCCAGGTGCATTAGTAGGGACCTGGATTGGAAGTGGAGGTGAGACTCAATCCCAGGCACTCCAGTATGGGATGTGAGTGTCCCATGTGGCAGCTTAGCCCACTGTGCCACAACACCTGCCCGTTAGCCGGGTTTTGATAAGCCCACCCATTCAGGGAGCTGGGAAGGAGTGGGTGGATAGCTGAGACATCCATTAGGCCCCTACTGAATGCCTTGGAAATGAGGGCAGACAACTGGGAACAGAATCAGCAAACAACCACGATTGTTCTGTCCTGAAACTGGAAATCAATGTCTTTGGAGCACACACTCTGTCCCCAAGACACCCAGCTCCTCCCTCAGTTCCTAGTTGGCCACTACACTTTCTACCTTTCCAACTCAGAAGCCAGTTGGTGGCACAGAGGGGCCACGTGCCCTGATGTGTGGCTCCGCTTCTCACTGTCACCTGGAGATGTGGCACTGTGTGGACACAGACTCACCACATTGCCACAGTTCTCCAGGGCCCAAGTATGAAACTGGAAAGCCCTTTCCAGCCTCCTTTTTTGGCTTGTGTGCTTGCTGTCGTAAGGCTATCAGTGTGTTTTGGCTTGTATTTCATCAGAGCTTCATCTGTTGTGAGACGTTCTTTCCTTATTTAGCCCACTGTTGTGCTAGTTTCTGGGAAATTTCTCTTTTCTGGCTTGTTCCAGATGGACTCTTATTGATTTATTTATTTATTATTTTATCTGAAAGATAGAGAGAAAGAGATATTTCTTGTGCTGGTTCACTCCCCAAATATCCACAGTAGCCAGGGGCCTAGAACGCCATCCGGGTCTCCCACATGAGCGACAGGGACCCATGTACTGGTTCCCAGGGTGTGCATTAGCAGGAAGCTGGAGCTGGGGAGAGCAGAGGAGGGACCAAGGCCAGGCACTGTGGCACGGGATGTGGCATCCCAAGTAGCATCCTCAGGGCTGCACCACATGCCTGCTCCACACCTTTCGTATTCCCCCCCATTGGCGCTCTTTCCTTCCTCTTCTGTTCTTTTCCTGTTCACCATGTGACTCTAAAAGGTTCTGGCTCAGGTTCACCCTCCAGTGTCTTGCTTTCTTTCTCTCTTTTCCTCTCCCTTGGAGACGTCTCCACCTTGTCCTCATCTGTACCTGCTACTGTCTCCTGGCTGCCCTGTCCGGGTGCCTTCTAGATCTTTCTGTCTTCCATCGGCTTCCTCCAGGTTTCTCCTCCCTCTCCAATGAGACGCCTGTCTGGGGTCCTTACTTTTTTATTAGGATCCTAAAATTGCTGTATCAGTAGAAGTCACCCAACCTATTGCTTGAGGAGTATGGGTTTATCCTTTATTTCAAATAGCACAGTGCTCCATACATAAAAGTTACCCAATGATATTTTTATTGTTTTTATGAGCCTGCTCTTTATACTTATCTTGGAAGAGGATATATAGGCTTTGGGTTGGGTATGAATGAGCCATTTACTGCATGTGTACAAACTATAAATTCCCAGGCACACCCTGATCCTACAGCAAGATCCTTTTGTTAGCTTTACCAGGCATGAAGTTGGCACCACAGTATTCCCGGGGATGTTCAAGCGAGCAAGTGAAAAAGTTGCCTGCTCACGTGATGTGGTGCAGCGAGCCCACTATTTAGCAAGAGCCCCAGCGTTATCTGTCCGTGAAGCGACCGACGATTACAAAAAGGAAAGGCGGGAGAGTGACTCAGCCCCTGCTTCCATGGCAACCGGCTGGCTCTCCATTTTTCTTATGACCAGTGGCCACCCCCCTGAGGGTACCACGCCTGGCCAAGTGGCCTCATGACTCAAAGTCCTAAGATTTCCAGCATTTCCCTGGAGACAAAGGGCACTCCTATGAGTAACTCCTTTACGATGCCCAGAGATGAGTCATTTACTACAGAGGAGCCGCCGAGGGCACTGGCTGGCAGGCTACCTCTTGAGATAGAGCTCGTATTTTAGTGCTTATGTGCCAGCCGCCCAGCGACTTCTGCGTGCCAGCTCCGAGGGGACGATGATGAGGGAGCAGACCAGCCACCGAAGCAGTTTCAGGTTTCCCCGCGAGGATGCCGGGGCAGCTTCTCAGACCCATCAAGTGGCACCTTCCCACGGGCATGTCCCCGCCATGCTGGAGAACTGGGCGAAGTATCTCTATGTGACTAAATAATTGCTACTTAGGGAGAACAGGAATTATTTGGGAACCAGGTAATGCCTGGTTTCCTCCGTAATCAGCGTGAGCCAGTCCCTGCGAGGCCGCTTTTGCTTGGCACGTTAATCCACCTGATTCTGTTTCCACCGTAGCCTGCAGACTCTGCACCAAGCATCCTTCAGTCCTATCGTGTCAGTGAGATTAGACCACGGCTCCTTTTTCCATTGCGGTTTCTGAGCAAACCCATTGCCCTGAACACAGACCAAGTGTCACACATCACAAGGTCAGTTCCAGCCAGGCCTCCTGAGTCCCGTGAGGCTATTCCCCTGCTCAGTGCACCTCCCCCCGACGCTCACAAACCAGTGTGCAGGCCCCGGTCAGCTGCAGGGTCTTCTGGAAAGTTCCATGCTCAAGGGAGCCTCCTGGTTGCCCGGCCAGCAGTGCTACCCTCTCCCCAGGGGCTGTCTCTGAGAAATGAAAGAATAAGGGCCTCAGGGGGTGGGGGGGCAGAGTCAGCCCCTTCCTCTCTCCCTGGGGCTCCATCCCAGCCACTGAGGCTACACCGAGATCGGGGCTGCCATCCTTCCCTGGAGCTCTGCTCTCCCTCCTTCCTCTGGCCCCAAGTTCCTCCCTATGCCAGCCCCAAATCCCAAAGCTCCCACAGGTATCAGCTCAGGCAGGCACAGAGCTTTTCTCACACACCCTCCCAGCCCGACACACAATCCAGTGTAAGACGGGGAACTCGTGTCCTCGGCGCTGGAAGTCAGAGGCGAAGCAGCAGGTGCTGGGCATAGCCTCCTGGGGCGCCCGCAGGACAGACAAAGAGGGACTTCCATCGGTTGTTCACCCCCCATCGATGCTTGCAATAGCTGGAGGTTGGCCAGGTTAAAGGGACCCAAGCACTTGAGCCATCACCACTGCCTCCCTGGGTGTGTATTGGCAAGAGATTGGAATTAGCAAGGACACCCGGACATTCAAGTATGGGATGCCGGTGACCCAAAATGCATCCGCAAGGCCAGGCCAAACGCACCCTGTGTCAGACACTCCAGACTGACCTGTTCCTTGCTTGGCAGGACTAGGGCGATTCTCTGGGAAAACATGCGTATTTGTTCCTTTATTATTCAACCAATACTTCTGGAGAGCCTCCTGCAAACCCAGTGCTGGGGGCTGCACAGGACGCCCGTGAGAAGCAGACCAAGGTCGGGCTGGGTCTCGGAGCTGCGGGCCCCAGCATGCAAGCCAGGGATACAGGTCACCGCGCATTTTACAGGGTCCCCGGGGACGCGGTCACTGCGCACTCCTGCGGAGGGCTTGGGGTACAGTCGATGGGGACTGGCGAGCCCCCCTGCGACTCAGGCACACACAGTTAGGACAGACACGCGGGAAGAGCCCCCGAGGAAGCGCGCGGTGATCGCAGCTTCGCCGAGCCTGCGTCCAGGGCCGTCTAGGGGGCGTCGCGGCCACCGCCGAGGGGCGCAGCGTCAGGACCGCCCGGTCCCTGTCCCAGCCCCTGTCGGGGCGTCGCTCCAGCGCCCTCGGGGCGTCCCAGCCTGGTCCGCAGGGGAGGCGCGGCTGGGCGGGCGGGCGGGCGCCGCCCCGCGAGGGCAGGGCCGGGCCGGGCGGGGCTCGGCGTATTTGAGGGCAGAACCACCGCCCTGCCAGCGGCCGCGCACCTCTCCAGGAGCCACCGGAGCTAGCGAGCGAGCACGTCCGAGCGAGGTGAGCGGCGCGCGTCGGTGGGGCTGGGCTTCGCGGGGACCGCGGGCGGCGGTGGGCACCGACTGGGCTCCAACCCTAAACCCTGACTCCCCGCGGGCCTGGGGTCCGAGGCACCTGGCAGCGCCTGCCGAGGCCCGCGTGCAGGTGCTTGGGCGGGGCTGTGCAGACACCGCCAGGCGCCGGCCCCGGCCCCGGCCCCGCGCCTCCGTCTGCAAGCAGGGTGGGTCAGGCGAGCAGCCTCCCCGCTGCCGAGGCTGGAGGAGCGGGTGGTGCACGGACCCAAGCGGCTCCGCCAGCTTGGTGTAGAGTGCGAGGACCCCACGGGGATGCGTGGGAACTCGAGGGCGCCTCCACTGTGGGGCATCTGCTAAGACCCGGTGGGAGCAGATCTTGCTTGGGGCACGAATAGGGTCCTCGCCTAGGTGCAGCAGCGGCCGGGCTGCAGTCGCCTTCGACTGCTGATCCCGCAAAAAAAGGCGCTGCCCCGGGCCTGAGCGGGGCTGAGCCCAGCTTTGCAAACTGCACACCCTCAGCCCTTGCAAACCAATGACTCATCGCAGCTCGGCTTGGCTAAGCTGCGCCAACAGCGAGCCGGGCTCTGCGGTGGGGAAGCCTGGGGTGTGGCAGCGCGCGGGGCACTTCTACGGAGTGAGCAGCCGGCCAGATAAAAACCCAAAACGCTGGTGGCCTGAGGAGCCAGGGGAGGACCCGGGACACCTGGCTGGGGCTGTGACTTAGGCCGACCCTTCAAGGTTGTGGAATTTTTGAAAAGTGATTCCTGGGGGTTGGGTTGCTGGATGGTGAGTGTGCCTGCGCCTTGGTGACCGAGGATTTTGGGAAGGAATGGGAGTTAGGCTCAGGTAACTCTGCAGAAAATGATCGTGGTACCGGTCGCCACTCCAGCACAGAGCAGAAACTGTCACCAACTTTCAGAATTCTGGCTTCTTTGTCTCAAGGTTGTTGTTGTTGTTGTTGTTGTTTTTATAAACTTCATACTAGGGTATTGTGTTTCCATAAAAGGTAACATTTGATAATAAAAATGTACTGTTCTACAACAATAGTTTTGTGATTTTTTTAAAAAAATTATTTATTGAAAAGGAGAGAGAGCGCGAGGACACTTCTATCCTCTGGTTCACTCTCTAAATGCCTGCAAAAGCCAGGGCTGGGTAAGGAGGAAGCCAGAAGCCTACAGCTTGACCCAGCTGGACAGTTCAAAGCCAGGAGCCCAGACTCAACTTGGTCTTCTCCGTGAGTGTCAGGGACTCATGTCCTGCTGCCTCCCAGGGTCTCCATGGGCAGGATGCTGGAATGGGGAGTGGAGCCGGGAGTCAAGCCCAGGCCCTCGGCTGTGGAGTGTGGACACTCCGAGCTGCAGCATTATTGCTGTGCCCAAATCCTGCCGCTCCGCCCACACCGACTTGCAGTCCATAGAGGAGGGTCTGCATGCCGTCCCCGTGGTCTTTAGGGGACCGGACCTGCCTCCTCAGTTCACAAATATTTGGGGATTCCATTTAAAATCAGCACTTGCCCTGTATTCTGGGGAGAAGTTTGACGATGGTCTTTGAGTGTTTAGAGCTTACAAGCAGCAGGAGGGGCCTGCACTGGGGCACTGGTTCGAGTCCCAGCTGCTCCAGTTCTGATCTAGCTCTCTGCTGTAGCCTGGGATAGCAGTAGAAGATGGCCCAAGTCCTTGGGCCCCTGCACCCATGTGAGAGATCTGGAGGAGGCTTCTGGCTCCTGGCTTCAAATTGGCACAGCTCCAGCCATTGTGGCCATTTGGGGAGTGAACCAGTAGATGGAAGACCTCTCTCTCTCTGCCTCTGCCTCTCTGTAACTCTGCCTTTCAAATAAATAAGTACATCTTTAAAAAAAAAAAGACAACACTATTGAAATAATTTTTTTAAAAAAGTGGGAAGAGGCTGGCTTCGCCAGGTATATGAGGAGCCCAGGAAGAGGAGGACTGGCTGAGGGACTGACCCAGCACTGCTGTTGTCGGGGGAGGCTTGCTCTGTTGAGGGTTCTTCATCCAGGACAGCTCACTCTCTGTATAGCTGCTTTGCGAAACCTTGGCACTTAGTGCTGGTGAGGTCAACAGACCCACGCGGGCCTCAGCTATAAGCTATAAATTATGTATCTGCCTGGAACCTCTCAGCCAGACCTTCCTGGGACCTGGGACAGAGACGATACTCATGCAGTAGAGCTTGCACGCACGGTAGCTGGTCTGGAAGGTCGCCTTGCTTTCCCGTGAGCATTCGGAACACAGGCTTTGGCTGGGGACAGCTGGGTAGCTCGTTGTGTCTGGCACCTGAGCTGGTTCTTCCCGTTACATTCTGAGCAAGTAGCCGACGAGCCAGCCGAGCACTGCTTTGCTGCACACCTCCGCTTTGCTGTTGACAAAGCATCCTGTGTGCTCTCTCGATTGCTGTTCAACTTTTCCATAAGGGGAAAAACCTGAGTAACTGAGACGCGCACGGTAGCGTAACTTTCCCTGAGGCTGGAGGACAAGGATGAGAATACGATCCTGGGAAAGATCTGGCCTCCTCTACCCCAGCTCACCCTCGCTGGGTTGGGCCTTGGAGAGCGGCCTTCCCCAAGCCCTGCTCCATGTGTCGGTGAGGTCAGAAAGTGGAGCAGCTCTCCTGGGCTCTTTAAGAGGAGTGGGTGACCTCCCAGGGCGTCCTCTGAGGGGTCCACCTCTGCACAGTTGTATAAAGACTGGACCTGTTCACCAGCAGATTTCAAACGTGCACCTGGGAACTCTGACCACTGCATTGCTTGCGAGGTGGGCCTCACACAGCACAGTGCAGTGGATCCCCACTCTTCATTAAAGGGAACAGTTCAGTTAACCGCCAATTAAAATGGTCTAGGAGCTGGTGCTGTTGCATAGGGGGGAAGGCCGCCGGCTGCAGGGCCAGCATCCCACTTAGACGCTGGTTTGGGTCCCGGCTGCTCCACTTATGATCCAGCTCTCTGCTATGGCCTGGGAAAGCAGTAGAAGATGGCCCAAGTGCTTGGGCCCCTGCACCCACGTGGGAGACCTGGAAGAAGCTCCTGGTTCCTGGCTTTGCATCCACACAGCTCCGGCTGTTGCGGCCATCTGGGGAGTGAACCAGCAGATGGAAGATGTCTCTCTCTCTCTCTCTCTCTCTCTGTAACTCTTTCAAATAAATAAACAAATCTTAAAAAAAAAAAAAAGAAAACAGAAACCAATGTAAGAAGCATACTTCAAAAAGTTTGCAGAAAGTGGAATAAGGCTGAAAATAAGCTGAAGAATAATTAAGTAACCAACTTACTGGAGAAAAATTAACGTAAAAAATGGTCTACATTCTGACTCATGCTTGTATTCCTTACTACAGAGCTATACCCTGCTGTTTCCTGTCTGTGATTCCAAACAGGCAGACCCAGTAGAACGCCTCTGCTTTTTGGTTTATTTTTGATGAAGTGCTTTTTTCCTTTCCTGCCTGTCCACCATTCTCTGATTCTGGGAAAACCAGGATGGAGTCTGCAGAATCGGAAGTTTTTTTTACATCTGATTGTGTGTGTCCTTATTTGCAAACTTCTCACCCCCCCCCCAAAAAAAATAAATAAATAAGAAGGCAAAAGGAAAGAAAAAAATTTCCAGGCAGCTAAGGAGCTATTTATTGGAATAGATGTCTTTCTGTTTTTCTCTAAAGTTCTCAGGCTGCTGACTTTAACTTCGAAAGCACATCAGTTCGAACCCATTTTGTAAAAGAGAACCGAGCATACCCAAGTTCTGGAAAAGTACACTTTATTGGTTAAAATGTGGTTATAATTAGCAAAGTGCACAAAATGGCATCCCTGTATTCAACAGAGCCGAGCACGGAATGAGTCAGCCAGTTAGTTTTCTGAAAAACACACTCTTGGTTTTTAGCTTGTTTACAACGACAGCATGTTATGTAGTTCTGGATGAACAAGCCAGAAAATTAATTTCTCAGCAAAGCCATTAACACTTGCAAAGGACTAGTCTTCAGCATTGCCCGCGGTGGGGGGCAGGGTTTATGCTCGGGTGGCGTGAGGCTCAATTAGGAGTCCTGGATTCTGGCCTGGGACCTGCCTAGGACAGGACGATCCGGGGCCACCATGGGAGTCGCAGCCTCAGTTTCTCCTGTCATTCTCAGAAGATCAAAGTAGAGGAGGCGTGTGAACGTGCTCTGTAAACAAAGCACCACACAGGCACGTGTCTTTCTTCTGATGGGCTTGTGTGTGTCGCCACACGACCCAACTGTCCTGCCAGGCCTGGGTGAGGCACAGTGGAAACCGGCTCTGCTTCTCCAACTGTCCTCGTTCAGCTTGGAAACTAAGCTAACCAGGCTAGAGCAGAGACTATAAAAGAATGAATATGCAATTCTGAAAATGCTCTCTTGTAGTTCCTGGTTATAATCAGCCTTTGAGCACATCTTATTTTGAGTTACAGTAATTATGGAGCACTTTTTACAAATATTATATTTATTTGAGAAGCAGAGTTACAGAGAGAGAGAGGGAGAGACAGGGAGAAAGGTCTTCCTTCTGCTAGTTCACTCCCCCAAATGGCCGCAATGGCTGGAGCTGGGCCAATCTGAAGTCAGGAGCCAGGAGCCAGGAGCCTCTTCCAGGTCTCCCAGGAAGGTGCAGGGGCCCAAGGACTTGGGCCATTTTCCACTGCTTTCCCAGACCATAGCAGAGAGCTGGATCGGAAGTGGAGCAGCCGGGATTCAAACTGGCACCCATTTGGGATATCATAGGAGGAGGAGGCTTAACCTCCTATGCCACAGCTCCGGCCCCTAATGGAGCACCTTATGCAGCAAATGGTTGCCATGGAAATGACCTTTTAGGTCTTTACTGACCTGTCCATGTACACTCATGTAGGGGTGCATGAGCTCACTGACTTACACGGTGGCTCTCCGTCTCACATGGCTTTTGCCCCAGGGGATACCTGGCAATGTCTGAGGACATTCTGGGTTGTCACAAGTTTGAGAGTGACATGCTGCTGATACCCTAGGTTTAAAGCCACAGCTGTGGGGAATGAACCCTCTGTGACGCCCAGCACAGTGGCCGACCCGAACATCAGTGGCACAAGGCTGAGAAAGGGCTTCTACGCAATGGGGACATTTAGCAAAGTCAGAATGCTTCTAGCATTATAGCTGGGTCTTTGCTGTGTTTCCCCAGCGATGCTCTCTGCCCACCTAGAAGTTCAAGGTTGCCTCCTGGTGTGCAAAGTGAGAGGCTTTATTTTCTTGGCCTAGGACATTTCATTCCTTTGCCTTTTCCATGACAGTTCCTCTCTCAGCTCCCTCCCATGGTAGCAGCGCAGTGTCTTGCTCAGTAGTGCAGCAGCCTTTGGGGAAAGGAGGCGCAAGCAGAGGAGCGGCCGGCTGGGGCTTTAGAAGGTCAAGTTCTGTAGCAAATACAGCGAATGGGTGGTGGAGCGAGCCCTGGGCGTCACGGTAACTTCCTTGTTAAGCTCACAGCAAGCAAGGGGGTCAAGGTCGTAACCTGGCTGCTTCCCTAAGGTCTAAAAATGAGATGTGCAAAAAACATTCACGCGCAATGTGTGGTTGTGAATACACAACAGGGAGATAGGATAAAATATCCAGTGTGTGTAAATGAATCACATGCTAAGTCCTAGGAGGGGCTTTATGTAATGTTTTATATTTGTAGGGCCTATCAAGTCATAATTTATTCTATCTCTTGGGGACAGTGTCATTTCCTAAAAGGACTGAGTAAATATCACCAGCGAACAAATCAAGGGACATGAGTCTCTGATTGGGTCAAGGTCCAGGGAACTTTGGCCACAGCACAATCTTGGGTTTAGAAAGAACTCACCCAGGACTCTGGGGGCAAAGTGCCCTCCTCCCTGCACTACCTGGGCCCTTGCAGCAGGAGCAGGGACAAGGGGACTTCAAAAAGTTCGTGGAAAATGGAATTCAAAGATAGCTTTATTTTGATGCAAAAAGTTTTGAGGTCCATGCATAGCTTTTGCATCATGCACATTTCCATGGACTTTTTGAAGATCCTCCCTCATATAGAGAGAGCACCTCGTGCTCTGGGAGGCTTGGCACAGGGGAGGGAGCAGCAGAGGGCAGAAATGATGTCTCAGCAGCAGTCCTCATGGCAGCTTCGGGCAGGACAACCCTCTTGCTTAGCTCCTACCCTCCCGTATTTCCCGTCACATTGGCTGACTTTTCCACCTTGGTTTGTTACACTGCCCGAGTTTTATTTGGAATAATAAGTACCTTTAAAAAAAAAAAAGGCACATCCAAATTGCACTTGGCTGTCATGGTTTCTTTCCAACACCACCTTGCCTTTTCCTCCTAGAAGGAAGCCCTCTGGGCTTGAATTCCCACCGCACCTGCTAATGGCCCTGATCTCTCAGTATTTCACGTTTCCACCTGAGTGGCCCTGTTGGCCTGTGAGTCCTCGCACCATCCTGATCGTAGCCTTCTCCTCGTCACACTCAGATAGCAGCCTGCACAGTGACTGGCCCAGGGCAGCACCACGGTGTGCAGCAAACAGGAACCTCTGGAGGTCATTGTCTTGGGTGTCTCAGTAGGAATCCACCCACACTGCAATTCTCCTAGAGCCCTGAAGGCGGCGTGCGAAGCAGGTGATCTTAACACACTAGAACCCTTTGGAAGGAGGGCCCGGAAGATGGCAGGAAGCAAGGTGACGGCGCCCGAGCGAAGCCACCGCTGTGTGCACTGTTCCCCTGGCAAAGGGGCAGACATGTTCCTCCTCCTTCCTTCTCCCTCTGTGCCTTTGACCTGTCACCCTCACGAGTCAGAAGGCGAGCCAGGGTGGCCCAGGTTGCCGTTTAGGAGTTAAATAGGGTTCCACAATCCTGCTGGCCCGGTGAGATGTTTCTGGCTCCTTGCCTGTGGATTGACTGCAGCTGTGCACATTGAAGGACCTCCGTGAGCTGCTTTAGGGTCAAATGCTCACCTGTCTCTTTTTTGTTTCCCTTGCAGGAAAATGGCGGATGGTTTTTCGGTGAGTGTCTTGTGTCTGTTTTCTTACCCTAACACCCATTTCCCATAGCCGCCACCAGACTCTTCCCCTTGGTCTCCCACCACGTGGCTGCCTCTGGGCCTGCTTTGGCCAGTGAGGGTGTCTAAGGTTCTGGAAGAAAAGCCAGGCAGAGAGAGGCCTGAGACTCACCAAGAGCAGCCCTTTCCCCGCAAAGGCCCAGGACAGAACAGGGCGGGTCCTGCTGGCCGGGGACGTGGGGCGGGTGGTGTTTGCAGCCGCTCTTCTGCTGTTGATGACAAAGCCAGGGCTTGTCCGGGAGGAGCCAGCTCCTGACTTGAGTGCATCACCCAAATGCAGCCCTCCGTGCTCTGGGAGGCAAGCAGAAAGTGGAAAACACCATCCCATCAGCTGATTGTAGTTTGGGGAACTCAAAAGTATTAATAGGTGGGAAAAATGTATTGCTGGGAGTTTACCTTCTTCCACTTGTTACACCACATTTTTTTGTTTTCCAGAGAACTCTGTTTGTGTCTTTTTCCTGCCCTGCCATTGTTTATGTCTTTCTTTCCAGCTCAACGATGCCCTATCTGGGTCTGGACACCCCCCAAACCAAGGATGGCCTGGCCCATGGGGGAACCAGCCTGCTGGGCCAGGGGGCTACCCAGGGGCAGCCTATCCTGGGGCCTACCCTGGACATGCACCTGGAGCTTATCCCGGGCAAGCGCCTCCTGGCCCCTACCCTGGCCCAGGAGCACATGGAGCCTACCCTGGGCAGCCAGGTGGTCCTGGGGCCTACCCGTCTCCTGGACAGCCAAGTGGTGCTGGAGCTTACCCTGGCGCCAGCCCTTACAGCGCCTCTGCTGGACCACTGGTAAGGTGGAATTAGTCATTTCGTGTACTTGCTGAAGCGTTGTCTGCGGGCTTAGAGCCACAGCTGGGTGTTGGTGCAGTAGAGATCACTGCTCAGGGTGCATTTACTGTGTGTTCTGCACGCACAATGATGCGTGACGCACGTTTGATGGCATTGCCAGAGTTTTCCTATCAACCAAGTGAAGCGCGTAGTCACTACGAATAAGCTTGGTGGTTATTACGAATAAACCTGTGTGAGTACCTAGCATGTGCAGCAGCAGGTGTTAGGATGCTGTTGTTACCCTCGGCTTCCACCTGAGCAAACAGGTTGGGGGGACGCTCTTGGAGACGTATTCCAAAAGCTCATGGTAGTTGTGTGTTGGGGGGAAAAAACTATACATGGATTTCAAAGCTTTCAAGTACCGAAATAAATGTATCTTTTCATCCCATTTTCCCATGAGCTCTTTCAAGTCCCCTTGCTAACCGGCCCAGGGTCATTGTAGGAATGTGTGGGAAAGCCCAGGCAATCTGGTTGACAAACACTGCTGAAGATAATGTGGTGGCCCAAGGGTTGAATTTCCATTAAAAATACATTTGACAAGCGAATTCTAAACATAAAACACAGCTGAGGGGGCAGCGGGGTAGGGGGTGGTGGGGATCTGGAACATGGAAGTGTCAGAGCCTTCCCTTCCAGACCTGGAGTCTAGTCGGGAGGTACCGCATAAACACGAGGAAAGCACCGCACAACTTGCAGTAACGGGACCGGGCCTTGAGCCACATCGCGTGTTCTGTTTGTCCCAGCAAACACAGTTCTTAACTGCTGTGCACGTTCTCTCTTTCTTAGCCTGTGCCTTATGACCTGCCTCTGCCTGGAGGAGTCATGCCCCGCATGCTGATAACGATTGTGGGCACGGTGAAGCCCAATGCAAACAGGTAAAGAGGCAAAGCTAGCCAGCTGCATGCATTTGCTGCTGGGTTGTTTTATTTTTATGTAAAGTTTTATTTTTTTGAAATGTGAGGGGTGGAGGGAGAGAGAGATTTTCCATCTGCTAGTTCATTCCTCAAATGCCCACAGCAGTCAGGGCTGGGTCAGGCCAAAGTCAGTAGTTCAGCACTCTATCCAGATCTCCCAAGTGGGTGGCGGGGGCCCAAGCACTTGAGCTGCCCACCAGGATGCATTAGCGAGAAGCTGGGTCAGAAACGGAGTAGCTGATATGGGATGTGGATGTCTGGAGCAGTGGCTTGATCTGCTGTGCCAAAGTGGCCACGCCAGGCCTTGCTTTAAAGGCAGAACCTCAGCTGATTCTCGTGTTAGCTCGCTGGTGGCACGCTTGGAGAAACTCAGCAATCGGCTAGTTAGTCCTTTAACAGGGGACTTTGTGTTAACATCCAAGGACAGGAACAGGGTCAGAAAGTTAAAGCAGCACTTTCTTTGGTCCCACCTCCCATTATGGGATGTTCAACACTTCTATTACTGTGACTTTACAGCTTAGCAACAGGACACTGCCCATGAACTGCATGATCTCATTGTTTCTGTTAACCATGACAAAGCCCAGTATCCGATACTCTGGTTTTATGTACAGTTGCCCATAACAGGTATGGAAAGCACCCTGGCAGGGCAGTAGAGAGCGAATCATCATCTGTCATAAAATACAAAGTGTTCACAACCTGGTCCTAACCCTCTAGAAGGAAATCTTGAAGGATTTGCATGAGTGGAATCTGTAAAGAGGGTCTTACAGCTGAATGGGAATGGTATAACCAAAGACAGAGGCCAGAATAATGTAATACATATTGACTCACTGGCCTTTAGGTTTAGGGGAGTACATAGAATACTGGGCCTGGCATATTTCCAGTCTGAACCCATTCTGTTATGAACAAAATGTGCGCTTGATACAAATGTACAGCTTTAATCACTGTAGTAACTGTGGTCTTTGGTTTGAAACAGACTCGCTTTGGATTTCAAGAGAGGGAATGACGTTGCCTTCCACTTTAACCCCCGCTTCAATGAGAACAACAGGAGAGTCATTGTCTGCAACACAAAGGTGGATAACAACTGGGGAAGGGAAGAAAGGCAGACGACTTTCCCATTTGAAATTGGTAAACCATTCAAAGTAAGTAACTGCTGCTGCCATTCTGTTGGTAAAATGTATTTCTCATGGCGACTCGTGAGTCAGTGTACTTGACATGAAATTATTTTTAGCTTGTATTTATTTGATTCATTTTAAAGGCAGAGAGGGAGACACACAGAAAGAACGTGCTCCATCCATTGGTTCACCCCTTGAAAGCCCACAACAGCTTGCGCTGGGGCAGGCCAAAGTCAGGAAGAACCTGGAACCCACTTCAAGTGTGTGGCAGAGACCCAGCTACCTGAGCCATCATTGTTGCTTCCCAGGGTAGTGGAATTCGGAGCTGAGGTGGGACTTGAACCCAGAACCCCAGTATGGGATGCAGGTGTCCAAAGCAGCATCTTAACCCAATGTGCGAAACTCCTGCTTCCCACTGAGATGAATATTGACCACCTGTCCTGGGGCATCTAACCAGTCTGTCTCCTCACTACCATGCTGGGAACAGGCCAGGAGTGGCACACTCCCCAGTTCCTTTCAGTGGCCTTGTGATTATCACTGTCCCACCCCTCCGAGTTTATGTTTTTCTAGAAATAAAGTATATCATCTTTAATAAAAAAGTAGGATATCTATGGTACAGGTAAATTGAGACTTAGTTCCTTAAAAAACATAGTTGGCATGGCAACCAAAACAAAGCTTTAAAAAATTATAGATTGAATACGTATGCTTTATGGAAGATTTATAGATTTTTAAATTGACTGAGACATCTTCCCTCCCCATCCCCACCCTCACAGAGGTTGCAACCTGGTATCTCCTCGAGTATTTTCTGTTACCCACAACAATCTTTTTATTAAGTAGTGTTTCACCAAAACACATACTAGCTCCACAGCATTGGGCCTGGGTTGACTGCAGGGTGGCCGGCAGAACACACTGTGAGCTCCTAAGTGCAGGTACAGGGAGCTGCGTCTGCATTTTGTGGGCATCTTTCCTTCTCAGAGCACTGCCTGGACAGTATGTCATCATGTAGACATGTGCCCACTTAATCCTACAGATGAAACTTTGGAGGAAAGAAAACCTGCAAAAGCTTGTTTACTTCACTTTAAGTTTGTAATAACCATCATTATAAGTCTTTGCTTCCAATAAGGGTAATTTTCTTCAAAGAATACACATGTATAAAATTAGAGAAGATATTGCCAAATTGTGGCTTCCAAACAATGTGAGGATGAAAATTCACTAACTGTTCAAATAATGTGTTTTCTCTGCCCTGGTTTATATATATATATATATATATATATATAAAACAACACTGGTTATTATTAATCTTTGTAACATTTGCAACTCTGTTAAGGGGTTCCTATTTTAGTGTTTTTGTAGGCTGTACAAAAACTTTTATTTACTGGAGAGTTAGAGAGAGAGATCTTCCATCTGCTGGTTCACTCCCCAAATAGCTGCAATGGTTCGGGCTGGGCCAGGCTGAAGTCAGGAGTCTGAAATTTCATCCCAGTCTCCCGACAGGGATGTAGGGGCCCAAGGACTCAGGCCAACCTTCACTGCTTTCCCAGCCACATTAGTAGGGAGCTGGTTGAGAAGTGGAACAGCCGGGACTGAAGCCAGCACCTGTTGTCCAATGGTGGCTTAACCTGCTGTGTCACAATGCTGAGCCCACTTTTGTGTTTATCAGTAAATTAGTAACCTTTTCCTTTATGGCTTCATTTTTATACCCTTCCAGTAATTTTGTTGCCTTTTTTGTTGTTTAAATCTGAATAACCTGGATTTTATTTTTTGCTATAAAATTACTTTCTGGAGATCTTCATCAGTTCCACAAATGACAATACAGATGAAATGCTGGCAGCCAGCATTGTGGCATAGTAGTAAAGCCACCACCTGCAAGGCTGGCATCCCATATGGGTGGCAGTTTGATACCTAATACCTCCACTTTTGATCTAGTTCCCTGCTAATGTGCCTAGGAAAGCAGAAGATGACCCAAATCCTTGGGCTCCTGCAACCATGCAGGAGAGCAGATGAAGCTCCTGGCTTCGGCTTGGCCCAGTCCTAGCTGTTGAGGCCATTTGGGGGAGTAAACCAGCGTTTTACTCCGGTGAGATCTTTCTCCAATCTTTTAAATAAAACAAAATCTTAAAAAAAAAAAATGAAATGTTGGACATTCTGAGCTGAGACCAGAGCAGACAAATTTGAAATCAATAGACGTTTCTTTTCCACTTTACAAAATTTGACGGAACATAGATTGTATAGCTCTATCACATACAACATAATGGCTTGAAATACACATATGCTGTGGAATGGTTAGTTAAGTAAGTAACATACCCATGACCTCACCTAACAGTCTGTGTATGCATTGCAGATACAAGTCCTGGTGGAGCCAGACCACTTCAAGGTTGCGGTCAATGATGCCCACTTGTTGCAGTACAATCATCGCATGAGAAACCTCAAGGAAATCAACAAGCTGGGAATTTCTGGTGACATACAACTCACCAGTGCTTCACATGCTATGATATAATCTGGAAGGGACAGACTTCCTAAAAAAGTAAAATTGAATCTAAACCTTTTGCATTTAAAAGCTTTATGTTCACTACGAGTGAAAAAATTTACTTTTATTCATCATTATCCTTCTTATAAGTCATCCTTTTAATAAATATTCTTATGCTGAGTTACCTGTCTTCATGTCATTTTATTGAACAGTCTGTTCTAGGTAATACAAAATGCAAACATATCTAGGGATATTAAAACTGCTATAGGGGGCCAGCACCGTGGCGCACTTGGTTAATCCTATGCCTGCGGTGCCGGCATCCCATGTGGGTGCTGGTTCTGGTCCCGGCTGCTCCTCTTCCAGTCCAGCTCTCTGCTGTGGCCCAGGAAGGCAGTGGAGGATGGTCTAGATGTTTGGGCCCCTGAACCCGCATGGGAGACTGGGAGGAAGCACCTGGCTCCTGGCTCCAGATCAGCGTGGCTCCCGCCATTGCAGCCACTTGGGTAGAGAGCCAATGGAGGGAGGACCTTTCTCTCTCTCTCTAACTCTGCCTTTCAAATAAATAAAATCTAAAAACAAACAAAACTGCTATAGGGTCTCCCAAGATTTTTCCATACTTGCTTTTTTTTTTTGAAGAAAGGAGAACTTAAACTACCCTAAAATGTCCTTTCTCTTTCAGAATGACATAAAAATCAGCAAATGCTACAAGGAAATCATTCTTACCAAAATACAGTTGGGAAAGCAAGGTGTTTGAGAGGGAGTGGGTTTGTGAACACCACCTGTAGCCTGAGAAAGCACATGCGTGGGCACAAAGTGGTGACCCGCAACAGCTGGGCCTGCTCTAGGGGGAGTTCTGAGTTTGGAGGACCCTTCAGAGTGGAGGGGGCTGGGCCTTCACATGCCCAAGTGGCTCAATCACTGAACACAGGACACCTGGGAAACAGGGAAACTCTTCAGCTGTGGCAGCACTTGTAGGCAAGGAGAGCTAAGGGCTGCCTGCCACCGTTTCCAGCGGCAGAAGAAATAAGTCCCCTCCCCCTCCCTTCTCCCACTGGCTTGATTCTGCAGACCAGGCCCAAAGGAAGGACATGGCTCTGACTATCGCTGGCAGCCATCTCATGACTCCATAAGACCCAGCCTTAGAGGAGAAACACCTCTGACAGAATGGGGACACAAGCTAAGCCTTGATGTCATCACTTAGTTGTTGACTGCAAAGTGCCTGGACCACTCTGATACCTTGTGAGGTAACAAATCTCCTTACCATTAAGCCAGTTGGAGTACACTACTTGTTTGAATATTCAAGTAAGCCATGCAGAAACACACAAAAGAGTTTTCTAAGGGTTCAGTGGCATGAATATCTGAACAACCAAGAACTTCCTACACAATTCAATACAAAACATCCTACCAAGCATTGCTGTTACTGACACCGTATTCTTTTTATCTGCCTTATCTCGAGAACAAACAGTATCTGTCATGGTGTATATTGCTTTATACACATTGCAACTTTCAAAGTGTTCATAGCCATGGGCCCTTGGAAAACCCCAACTTTTACATGTATTTCATTTTTCTGCAAGACCTATTTGAATGATCATTAATGGAAGCCACTTTCAAGTGTTCTGAGGACACTTCTAAAGCAGCACCTCACAACAGCTCACTCTATTTCCTTAAAAAAAAAAAAAAAAAAAAAAGATTTATTTGAGATGCAGAGAGAGTGAGTCAGTCAGTCTTCCATCCAGATGGATGGTTCATTCCCCAGATGGCCTCAATGGCAGAGCTGCGCCAGCCCGAAGCCAGGAGCTTCTTCCGGGTCTCCCATGGAGGCACAGGAGCCCGAGGACTTGGGCCATCTTCCACTGCTTTCCCAGGCCACAGCAGAGAGCATGATCGGAAATGGAGCAGCCCATATGGGATGCGGGCACCGCAGGGGTGGCTTTACCTGCTCTGCCACAGCGCCGGTCCCCAGCTCACTCTCTCAATACCATCCTCTTGCATGCCTAATGCATTTCCATCTGGCAACAGAAGTAGAGGTGTGCTTTCTGTTGTGCTTTGAAAATCCTCAGAGCTTCTGCTTCTTGGGTGAATGACTCTGATCCTCAACTCACTCGAGCTCTGCTGGGTCTGTTACTCTAGTGGCTGTCTTTTACAATCCTACTGTAAGAGTTTGCGGCGGGCATTTTGCAGAGCAGTTAGGATGCTGCTGGGGAGGCCTGTCTCATGTCAAATGCCTGCCTGAGCCGGTGCCGCGGCTCACTAGGCTAATCCTCCGCCTGTGGCGCCGGCACACCGGGTTCTAGTCCTGGTTGGGGCGCCGGATTCTGTCCCGGTTGCCCCTCTTCCAGGCCAGCTCTCTGCTGTGGCTAGGGAGTGCAGTGGAGGATGGCCCAGGTGCTTGGGCCCTGCACCCCATGGGAGACCAGGAAAAGCACCTGGCTCCTGGCTCCTGCCATCGGATCAGCGCGGTGCGCCGGCCATTGGAGGGTGAACTAACGGCAAAAGGAAGACCTTTCTCTCTCTCTCTGTCCACTCTGCCTGTCAAAAAAAAAAAAAAAAAAAAAAGCCTGCCTGAGTTCCTGCCCCACTCCTGACTCCAGCTTTTGCTGATGTGCACCCTAGCAGGCCGCAGGTGGTCGCTCAGGTGGTTTGGTCCTTAGCACCCATGCGGGAGACCCAGATTTAGTTCCCGGCTCTTGGACATATGGGGAGTGAATGAGCACATGGCAGTATGTCTCTGTTTCTACATCTCAAGTAAAATTATTAAAATATATGTATATTCAAACATATATGATTCTCTTTGAGAAAAGAGCATTTTCCTTCAATGGTTATTGGCCAAGTCAAGGAGAAAATGAAAAGATTAATGGGTACCTCTAAAAATTTAAAACTGAAATTATAGCCTAACTTCACAACCCAGAAAACTCACCTAAGGAAACTAAGTATGCCCTAGAAAATGTAATACTCAAAGCTGTTTACTGCCAATAAATTTAGAAATTCAAACTAAAGTATTAACAAATACAAATATTTCTGTCAAAATTTAATAGTGTATTTCAGTTGAACTAAGGAATGTTTATAGGCTCTCAGTAAGTACACTTTACTTTAAGCTATACGTTTTGAACAAGAGGCAATGCACAACACTTTATTCTGCATGGTTAATGTACAAAATATCCCATGCCCCTTAAATAACATATCTAAAACACACTGAGGAACACAGAATACTAACCCATTGTATGATACTATAAGTGAATCAAATAGTACTGAACACAAATACATGTTCTCCAAAGTTCCAATGTCTAAGAATATATCACAGCACTGATAGCATGAAGGAAAATGTTTAGATTTACTTTAAATTCAAAATTCTTCTGGTTGTTCTGCACTGAGGGGCCTCAGCGGTGAAAAGGTAATCAGGTTACCACCAAAGGAAACGTGTCTGCCATGGTCTAGAGGTCTCCTCTCCACCCGAGTGGATGGATTATCGCAGTCCAGGCCTGGCTAGAGAACAAATTCAGAGATGTCACTTAAGTAATCGGTAAGAATTTAACCAATTAAAGTTCACAGTGCTATCAATTAACAACGAATGTCATCTCCTCTACATAACAAAATTACTGGTAATAATGATGCTATTTTTCAGCAGACATACTTCTAAAGTTTTTTTTTAAACTCTTAACAATGGTGGTTTTTTTTATTTTTATTTATTTATTTATTTATTTATTTTTATTTTTGACAGGCAGAGTGGACAGTGAGAGAGAGAGAGAGACAGAGAGAAAGGTCTTCCATTGCCGTTGGTTCACCCTCCAATGGCCGCCGCGGCCGGCACACCGCGCTGATCCGATGGCAGGAGCCAGGAGCCAGGTGCTTTTCCTGGTCTCCCATGGGGTGCAGGGCCCAAGCACCTGGGCCATCCTCCACTGCACTCCCTGGCCACAGCAGAGGGCTGGCCTGGAAGAGGGGCAACTGGGACAGAATCCGGCGCCCCGACCGGGACTAGAACCCGGTGTGCTGGCGCTGCAAGGCGGAGGATTAGCCTAGTGAGCCACGGCGCCGGCCTGGTTTTTTTTATTTTTAAGAGATTTTATTTATTCATTTTTTAAGAGGTAGAGTCATACAGAGAGAGAGAGAGACAGAGAGAGACAGAGAAAGATCTTCCATCCACTGATTCACGCCCCAGATGGCTGCCAACAGCTAGAGCTGGATTGATCTGAAGCCAGGAGCTTTTCCAGGTCTCCCACTTGGGTGCAGGGGCCAAACCACTTGGGCCATCTTCTGATGCTTTCCTAGGCCTCAGCACAGAGTTGACTGGAAGAGAAGCAGCTGGGACTCAAACCGGTGCCCAAATGGGTTGGTGCCCAAATGGGTTGCTGGTGCTGCAAGCAGAGGCTTAGCCCACTACACCACAGCGCCGGCCCCTCCAAATATTTTTTTAATTGAAAAGATGTATTGGGAATACATGCCTAAAAAGGTGAATGTCAATGGACTTAAGCAGCAAATGGAATGAACACTACTGAGACCAGATCTTCAGACATATATGCAGAGTTCACAAATCCTGTATCACCTAATAGCACAAGCAGGCCTTTTACTAAAAATTCTGCTGGGATCCTTTTCTTTCTCTCAAGCACTACTTCATGTTCAAATGCTGATACTGGGCAAGTAATGATCTGGACTTACAGGAGGCTGGTGGACTTATTAAAAAAAGCTATCAAAAATATCTAAATTCTATGGTTTATGGAACTGGGAGACAGGGAAGCTAAATTACAAGGTAATAAAATTTATTTATGAGATAATGTATACCCACATTACTGATACCAAAAGTAGAATATGATTAATTTTCATATTTACTTATATCACACAAGATCAGAATAATCAACCATCCACAGTTCAGACCTGGAAACTGGATTCAATCTTGGTTACAAAAGTTGGCCTGGTGCTGAAGTCCCTGATCAACCAGGTCTCAATTTATGATTAAGGAAAGTTAAGACCACAAAAGTAACACATTTCATTCTGCTTCCAACAGAGTGCAACCCAGAGCCTTGCCACATAGAAGGCAACTTGGAAAAATAATGCAAGTTAAGATATACCAGCCCAAGGTCCTGAGAATTAGTAGCTTAAGGAACCCACATATTTTCCAGGCTTTACAGGTTAACAAACTTGTTGATGTTTATATACTTGCTTTAATGAATTTCTTATATTCTGAGATCAAAGATTAACAAACAAGAGCTGGCAGTGTGGAGAAGGTTAAGCAGCCGCCTGCAACACCTGGCATCCCACATGAGTGCTGCTGGCTCCCCACTTCCAATCCAGCTTCTTCTAATGCACCAGGGAAAGCAGCAGAAGATGGCCCGAGTACTTGGGTCCCTGCCACCCATCTGAGAGACCTGGATGGAGTTCCTGGTTCTGGCTTAGGCCTGGGCTAGCTCTGGCTACTGCGGCTATTTGAGGAGTGAAACCAGCAGATGGAAAATCTTTTTCTGTCTCCTTCTCTCTGACATTCTGCCTCTCAAAAAAGAAAAAAAAAGAGAAAGTTTTAAATCCTGATAATTTCCTGACCACTTCTGGTGGCTGGTCCTGGAAATTTTCAAGATAAGGCAATAAAGCTCTCTACATATCAGACTCGCTAGATGAAGTGACAAGGTCTACTCTAGGTCACTGAAATAACTGAAGTGTCTGGGAGTAGACTGAAGCCAAAGGTACTCTGAGAAGGAGAAGGAGAGCAATGTATTACTCATGCCATGCTGAATGTACATAAGACAACTATACCTAGTGAGGGATTTACCATGAATAAGAACTAGATCCAGAAATTGTATTTTAGGACTGTCACACACTCATATTATGCTCTTAATAAGAGATTAAAGGTATATATTGTGAGCCTATATGCACTGATACTGCTATGTAAATTAACATGGGAGTGATGAAAGCCTAGACAGAGGGCTAAATTTTGAATGTACTTAGAGGTAAGAAGTCACCAAACGTAAAGACTGGGAGCTTCCAAATAAAATATCAGCATCTGAACATAGCAACCTTAAAGAATTAGAATGCAAATAACCAATGATGTCAGAAGGTGGGACAGAAACCATGTATGTCAGAAGGGCAGTAAGCTTGCCTTAAATTTTTCTTGCATCACTCAGAAATACCTAACCTAAACCACATATTAGACTTTCAAGTGTTCAACCGATCTATCATAACAAATTTGATACACAAATCATACTGGGAAGCAAATCTTCAGGGTTTAACACATATTATCTCTAAAAAAAGGTCATAGAAAGCCTTTCTCCATACTTAGAAAAATGGATAAGGGATTCCCGAGTAAACAAAAAGATGACAAGACAAAAATTCAATTTGTACACAAACTGAAAAATTAGTATTCATTTTATAAAACAAAGTTAGAATATAAAAGAAATTATAAAATGAAGTTGGAAAACTTACTGAATCAAGAAGGTAGCATTCAGTAGTTAGACTTTTATTATCATATAGTACTGAAAAACAAGGAAAAGAATTAATTTTTAACTTTAAAAATATTCCCAGTCAAGTGTTAGACATGAACCATGCCTTCAAAGGTCTGAAAAGTTCCTCATAGCAAATGCCAAGACAAAAATATCAACCATTATATGTTATAATTTTTTTCATGAAAGATTTATCTATTTGAATGTCAGAGTTAGAGAAAAGGAGAGACACAGAAACAGAAAAAGAGATCTTCCATCCATTGGTGCACTCCCCAGATAGCCACAACGGCTAGGCCAGGCTGAAGCCAGGAGCCTGGTACTCCATCCCTGTCTCCTACATGAGTAGTAAGAGCCCAAGTACTTGGGCCATCTTCTGCTGCTTTCCCAGGTAGCTAGATTGAAAGTGGATACAAGTGTTGCAGGAAACTTAACCTGTTGCAGATAACACCAGCCACCACCACTGTTTTTTTTTTTTTTTAAAGATTATTAATTAATTAATTAGGAAGTCAGCTGGGACTCAAAGGGGTGCCCATATGGGATGCCAGCACTGCAGGCAGCGGCCTTACCTGCTATGCCACAGCACCGGCCCAATCATTGTTTTTAATGCAAATAAATTTCTTGGTATAAATGATAATTCCCTTTATTTTGTTTTAAAGATTTATTTATTTGCAAGTCAGAGTTACATAGAGAGAGGAGAGGCAGAGAGAGAGAGAGAGAGAGAAAGACGTCTTCCATCCGATGGTTCACTCCCCAAATGGCCACAATGGCTGGAGCTGCACCGATCCGAAGCCAGCTTCTTCCGGGTCTCCCACCTGGGTGCAGGGGCCCAAGGACTTGGGCCAAATTCTACTGCTTTCCCGGGCCATAGCAGAGAGCTGGACAGGAAGTGGAGCAGCCGGGTCTCGAACTGGCGCCCATATGGGATGCTGGCACTTTAGGCCAGGGCATTAACCCACTGAGCCACAGCGCCGGCCCCTATAATTCCCTTTAAAACTATTTTTTTATTTAATCTATTTGAAAGGCAGAGAGAGACAGACACAGAGAAATCTACCAACTGATTCACTCTCCAAATGCCCCTGCAGCTGGGCCAGACTTAAAGCCAGAGGCCATGTACTCCTTCTGGGTCTCTCACAGGTGTGGCAGTGACCCAAGCAGCTGAGCCATCACCTGCTACCTCCCTAGGTATGCAATAGCAAGAAGCTGGAATTGGAAGTAGAACCAAGACTAGAACCCAGGAACACTGACATGCAATGTAGTTGTCCCAAATGGCATCTTAACTGCCACGTGAATGCCTATTCTTCTTGGTAAAGCTCTTTTTTTAAAATATATTTATTGAGGCCAGCACTGTGGCATCACGGGTAACGCTGCTGCCTGTGGTGCCAGCATCCCATATGGGCACCAGTTTGAATCCCAGCTGCTCCACTTCCCATCCAGCTCTCTGCTAATGGCCTGGGAAAGCAGTAGAAGATGGCCCAGGTCCTTGGACCCCTGCACCCACTTGGGAGACCTGGAAGAAGCTCCTGGCTCTTAGTCAGCACAGCTCTGACCATTGCAGCCAACTGGGGAGTGAACCAGCAGATAGAAGACCTTTCTCTCTCTCTGCCTCTGCATCAAATAAATCAATCTTAAAAAAATTTTTTTGAAAGGGAGAGAGGGAGAGAGAGGGAGGGAGGGAGGGAGGGGGAAAGAGAGAGAGGGAGGGAGGGAGGCGCAGAGAGACAGATATCTTTCATCCGTTGGTTCACTTCCCAAATGGCCACAGCAGTCAGGGCTGGGCCAGGCCAAAGCCATTTGCCAGTAACTTCATTAAGGTCTCCCATGTAGGTGGCAGGGGTCCAAGCATTTGGGGGATCCTCTGCTGCTTCCCCAGGAACATTAGCAGGGAGCTGGATCAGAAGCGGAGTAGCCAGGACTCAGACTGGTGCTTATATGGGATGCCAGCATTGCAGGCAGCAACTTAACCCATTGTGGCACATGCCAGTGCCCCTCTTGGTAAAGTTCTGATCCTTGATTTCAGCATAAAAAGTTTCCTGCAAATAGATTTCATGTGTATAATATTTTTTTCCTAAAGATTTATTTATTTATTTGAAAGTCAGAGTTACACAGAGAAGGAGAGGCAGAGAGAAAGAGAGAGGTCTTCCAATGCTGGTTCACTCCCAAATTGCCGCAACGGACAGAGCTGTGCCGATCTGAAGCCAGGAACCAGGAGCTTCTTCTGGGTCTCCCATGCGGGTGCAGGGTCCCAAGGACTTGGGCCATCTTTTACTGGTTTCCCAGGCCATAGCAGAGCGCTGGATTGGGAGTGCATTAGCCAGGACTTGAAGGCACTGCAGGGAGCAGCTTTACCTGCTACGCCGCAGCTCTGGCCCCTCATGCGTATAACATTAAAGGTACCCAAAGGAGGCTGAGGAACAACAGCTGGACAACCGGCCACACATGTTTAATATTGCATTCTACGTTGGGCCTCAGCTGGACCAGCACCAGAGAGCAGCAGATGAAAACAACAGGTGAATCTGGCGTACATTATATGTAACAAAAATATAAACTGTTTCCTACTGCAGAACAATCCCAACAAAGCAGGTAAAAAGAAGGTTTGAGGAGGAAAAATACGATATTCTGAAGAAGATTTGGAGATATCTGTTGAAAATTTTAAAACTTGAGGGATTTTTTTTTTCTGAGTTTTCACTTGAAGTCCTAAATAGTTAGGTCCAATGTACAAAGCTCCTTATATCCAAATTGGATTAGTATTTGTTATTGACTTGTATTAGTCTCCTGAATTTAGGATTTGGGTGAAGAGTGGGAAACTACAATTTAAACTAATTTTAGAAGACATCTACAATGAATGTCCAATTTTACAACCTTTATCTTTAGACACTGACATTCATTTATGATACTCTAATACCTTAATCATTTCCTTGACAAAGGCTCATTTAAATACATTTAGATCTTACCCGAGTGAGAAACTTTAGTTTCTTCTTCTTGTGAAACGTTATTTACTGATGGCATATTTTTTTCAGGGCTAGTCATCAAAATGTCCTGTGATATAATTGAAGAATTTAGTTCCATTCTTTCCACATCTGAAATTTCTTCTTTGTTCTTAGTATTAATATCATCTGCTCTTTCACCAACATGAAGAGACAAACTTATTCTGGACAAACAATCCATCTCAAAATTTATCTTGTTTACATCCTGAAAATGAAAATGCCATATTTAATTATTGAAAACTGAGAACAAACAAAAAAGGTCTTGTTAATAAGTTAGAAAAACCAGAAGCATGATGTTGTAAACACAGGCTAAAGAACATTGTGTATTCCATTGTCCTGTTTCTTGAACAATTAGTTTAGATACTATCATAGAAATAGTATGTGTGGAGGTAAGTTTCTCAGCAAGCTTTATACTGCTGTTCAGTAACTGACATTTTCTATGAAGCACCAGATAGTATGTTGGGCCATGTGAGCCACTGGGTCTCTGTTCAACTTTATCATTGTAATGCAAAAGCAGCCAGAATAAAACATGATATTCAAAGGCTGTGGTTTCAAACAATCCAAAGACCATTACAACAAGAACCATCATTCTGTATGACTGGTTTAGATTTCCAATGGAAATCCTAGGAGCTGTTTATTAAGTTAGTCTATTTAATTATGTAAGCAGATGACACAGAACACTGCTTTTGGATAGGACTTACATGGTTTACTTCAATTAAATCTTGTAATCCAGGACACTGAGAATTTTCTACTATTTTGTTTCTGGAAAAAAAAAAAGAAAATCCAACATGATACTCAGATAATTAAACATATCATTATCTTTTGATTTTTGTTTTGAGTTTATCCTTTATGGAGGAAATTAGGTTAGGGAATCAGCCAAAAATGAAGCCTGGCTAAGTCCAGCCTGATCCAGACAGAATGGCTTTGGACTCTAGCTACTGCAAGACAGCTCTACAAGCAATGCATTCTTCCCTAGAAAGCTCACAAGCCTGCTTCCATTGCTGCTCAGTAAAACTAATGTTGCAATAGCTTGATTTTTTTTTTTAAAGATTTATTTATTTTGGCCGGCGCCATGGCTTACTAGGCTAATCCTCCGCCTTGCGGCGCCGGCACACTGGGTTCTAGTCCCGGTCGGGGCGCTGGATTCTGTCCCAGTTGCCCCTCTTCCAGGCCAGCTCTCTGCCATGGCCCGGGAGTGCAGTGGAGGATGGCCCAAGTCCTTGGGCCCTGCACCCACATGGGAGACCAGGAAAAGCACCTGGCTCCTGCCTTCGGATCAGCATGGTGCGCTGCCTGCAGCGCGCTGGCCGCGGCGGCCATTGGAGGGTAAACCAACAGCAAAAAGATTTATTTATTTGAAAGTCAGTTACAAAGAGAGAGGAGAGGTAGGTAGAAAGAGAGAGCGAGAGAGAGCTCTCTTTCATCCAATGGTTCACCCCCCAATTGGCTGCAACAGCTGGAGCTGTGCCAACCTGAAGCCAGGAGCCAGGAGCTTCTTCAGGGTCTCCCACGTGGGTGCAGGAGCCCAAGGACTTGGGCCATCTTCTACTGCTATCCCATGCCATAGCAGAGAGCTGGATAGGGAGTAGAGCAGCTGGGACTTGAACCAGTGCCCATATGAGATGCCAGCACTGCAGGCGGCAGCTTAACCCACTATGCCATAGCAACGGCCCCGCAATAGTTTGAATTTTAAGGTCAAGAGGAAGCTGACTTCTCGAGGTAGAAGCACATCTTTTTCTTATCAAGTTTACTGTATATTTATGTTCCATGAATAAGAACTGTTCAGATAATTTTGATGCATTTGTGTAAAGGAACCACGGTGTAAAAGAATGAAGACAGCACCCATCTTCACTGATTATAACCTGAATATGTCTAAGTTATGAACTTTAAGTTTCTCACTTAAAAAACGGGGATTTTGTACCTATTATGGTTGTATTACATTAGATGGCACTATTAAGACCCAGAACTATGTCTAGCCCCTAACAGCTGTTCCATATGCATCAGCTCCCCTTTCTCTATGCTCAATGTATATATATATATATATTTTTTTTTGACAGGCAGAGTGGACAGCGAGAGAGAGACAGAGAGAAAGGTCTTCCTTTGCCGTTGGTTCACCCTCCAATGGCCGCCGCGGCCGGCGCGCTGCGGCCGGCGCACCGCGCTGATCCGATGGCAGGAGCCAGGAGCCAGGTGCTTTTCCTGGTCTCCCATGGGGTGCAGGGCCCAAGCACCTGGGCCATCCTCCACTGCACTCCCTGGCCACAGCAGAGGGCTGGCTTGGAAGAGGGACAACCGGGACAGAATCCGGCGCCCTGACTGGGACTAGAACCCGGTGTGCCGGCGCCGCTAGGCGGAGGATTAGCCTAGTGAGCCGCGGCGCCGGCCCAATGTATATATTTTTAAAAGACTTATCTTATTTGAAAGGCAGAGTTACAGAGAGAGAGGGAGAGGCAGCGAGATCTTCCATCCACTGGTCCATTCCCCAAATGTTTTCAATGGCCAGGAGCCAGGAGTTTCTTCCAGGTCTCCCATGAGGGTGTATGGACCCAAGCACTTGGGCCGCCGTCTGCTGCCTTCCCAGGCCATTAGCAGGGAGCTAGATCATAAGAGGAGCAGCCAGGAATCAAACTGGCACCCATATGGGATGGCAGTGTTGCAGTCAGTGACTTAACCCACTACAGCACAGCACTGGCCCCTCAAGGTAATTTCTGATAGTACTTTCAAGTAATTTCAACATAGTGCCAAAGCATCTATTTCTCAAGGACCCTGGAGGAACCATCAGAACTGCTGTCTCTTTTATTTTCTTAATGTGAGAGGCAAAGAGACATACAGAAAGAGCTCCTATCTGCTGGTTCACTCCCTAGGTGCCCACAATAGCCAGGGAACCAATGTCAACCATGTCTCCCATGTGAATGGCAGGAACCCAATCACTTGAGCCATCACTACTACCTTAGCAGGAAGCTGGAATCAGGAGCCAGAGCCAGGAATCAACTCCAGGTACTCAGATGGAAGACAGAGGTGGCCTAAGCAGCATCTGAACTGCTAGGTCAAATGCCTGCCCCAGCAATGCTGTTGTGTAGAAGAACTTGCCCCAGCGTTTCATGGTCATACGTTATGGAGCCGATTTTGAGCTCAGACCTGTTGAGCACCAAAGGATACCATATTGTATCCTCTCTCAGTGCTGCAAAACCTACTAAACCCATCCACACCTGACTATTTACCAACAAGAAACCCTAAGCCTCGGTTTACCTATTTATAGAAAGGAAGAAACACCTGTATGCTACAGGGTCGTTGTGAACTTTAATTGAAAATATCTGGCACATTTTACTAACTTAACAATCTGAAATGGTATGTGATATCAGTATGTTAAGCTTTTAATAACATGTTAAAGAAATACCTGCTTTCAGGAATATTTGAACATACAGTCTTCTCATCAGTATGCTCTCTGCTGGCATCCTGAGGATCTGTGTTCTCCGGTGACGCAGCTTGTGGCAGAAGGCCCATCGCAGCCCTGCTCTGAGACCCAGCTTTGCAGACAGACTTAGGTGTTCTCAGACTTTGAGAAAGACGTTCTGAAGAGGCAGAAAGTCCTAGAAGATGAGAGAAATCACCAATCCCAAAGAGGATTTAATTTGCTTTTGTTATAACCAGGAATATAGTATAAATCCTAGAATTAGCCTGTTTCTCCTGTCTACTAAAGTCAAATGCTGGGGACTGGGGTTGGCTTTGTCAACAACCTTACCCCCTGCAACGCCAACATCCCATATGGTGTTTGTGTCTTGGCTGCTACACTTTTTTTTTTTTTTTAAAGATTTATTCATTTTTATTTAAAAGGCAGAGTTACAGAGAGGCAGAGGCAGAGAGAGAGGCCTTCCATCCACTGGTTCACTCCCCAAATGGCTGCAATGGCCAGAACTGGGCCAGGCCAAAGCTGGGGGCCAGGAGCTTCTTCTGAATCTGCTATACGGATGCAAGGGCCCAAGGACTTGGGCCATCTTCCACTGCTTTTCCAGGCCATAGCAATGAGCTGGATAGGAATTGGTGCAGCCAGGACTCCATCAGGTGCCCATATGGGATGCTGGTACTGCAGGCTTAAGCTTTACCCACTATGCCACAGTGCCGGCCCTGGTTGCTCCAATTCTGATCCAGCTCCCTGCTAATGGCTTGGGAAAGCAGAAGAAATTGGCCCAACTCCTTGGGTCCCTGCACTCATGTAGGAGACTGGGATGAAGCTTATGGCTCCTGGCTTCTGCCAGGTCTAGTCCTGACTATTGCAGCCATTTGGGGGGCGAACCAGTGGATGGAAGCTCTTTTTCTCTCTACTCCTCTTCTCTGTGTAATTCTGCCTTTCAAATAAATAAACTTTTTTTAATTCTGGGAACTTTTTAGAAAATTAATTTATTTGAAAGGCAGAGTTACAGAGACAGAGGGAGAGTCAGAGTGAGATCTTCCATCCAACTTGTTCACTCCCCAAATGGCTGCAATGACTGGAGTTGGGCTAGTCTGAATCTAGGAACCAGGAGCTTCTTCTGGGCCTCCCATTTGGGTGCAAGGGTTCAAGTATTTGGGCCATCTTTTGCTGCTCGCCCAGGCACATGATCATGGAGCTGGATCAGAAGTGGAACAGCTGGGACTGGAACTGGCACCCATATGGGATGAAGTTGCAGGTTGCAGCTTTACCTGCTATGCCACAGCAATGGCTCCACGGGGACTTACAGTGAAAGAGAATACTGGGGGCTGGCACCCGCGTGGGAGACCTGGAAGAAGCTCTTAGCTCCTGGCTTCAGATTGGCCTGGCTTCAGATTGGCCCAGCTCCAGCAGTTGCAGCCATTTGGGGAGTGAGCCAGTGGATGGAAGATCTCTGTCTCTCTGTTTCTGTCTACAATTCTGCCTCTCAAATAAATACATAAATCTTAATAAGAAAAAAAAAAACATTAAATATTCTCAAGTGAGAAAAGAGAGAGAGGGGATATTGAACTCACACACCAGACTGCTTCCTTTTGACATCCAATACTGTAACATCAGCAGATGGTCACAATAGTCATGTCTGGATGGATCAGGTTAAAACTGGGAGCCTGGAATTCCACTGGGATTTCCCACATGGGTGGCAGGGACCCAAGTACTTGAAACATCTTCCACTGCCTCCCCAAGTGCATCAGCAGGAAGCTGGATTCTAAGTAGAGTACTGTGGCCACAAACCAGCACTCTGATACAGGATGCCAGTGTGTCAAGCATGGCTTAAACCCACTGTGCCACAATGCCAGCCACTGGACAAAAGTTTTAGTACAAACTAAAATAAAATCTAACCCCCTCCCATAAGCCTTTGTTTTAAAGCATAGCTAGAGAAATGTGGTGGGGTTTGATGCTTGTTTCCTTTATATCTTAAATTTGAACCAAACTTCTAAATGACTTGAAGAAAATCAACTTCACTTCTCATGCTTCTTTCATTTCCCTTACCTCTTGGGAACCTATGACTTACCTCACATATTGTGGGGTTACAAAGTAATAAGAGATGCAAAATTACATAGAAGAGGGCCAGTGTTTAGGCTAGCAGCTGAAATATCCACATCCCGTATTAAGATGTCTGGGTTCAGGCCCGGCTCCTGCTCCAGACTCCAGCTTCCTAGTAATGCAGACCCTGGGAGGCAGTAGTGATGTCTCAAGAGGTTGGGTTCCTGGTTCTTGCCTTTAGCTCAGCCCAGTTTCAGCCATTATAGGCATGTGGTGAGTAAACCAGCAGATAAAAACTCTCTAAAAGTCTCTCTCTGCCTCTCATAACTAACTACATAGATAAATAAATACAGTAATTTAAAAATCACTTAGAAAATACAAAAGCCACCTTAGAAAACACATCACACTTAAAACTAATCTGATCGTATCCATCAAAATGTGATTTACTTGTGTTTGTGAGAGAGCACATAGTCTATTTTTCTAGAAATCACAAATCTTTTATCTCTTCATATGAAAAAACTATGTTGCACAACTTACACAAGCCCTATTGATTCCAAATCTCTAGAGCAGTCTCAGAAACAAACAAAACAACAACAAAAAACTAACCTGAGAATGATTTAACAGGGCTCTCAATTCTGAAAAATCCAGCATCAAACACAATTGTATCAACTTTCTTTGGTATTCCTGAAGCTGCTGCCTCACCAAGTTCTTCTTGTTTAAGTCGCTCTCTCATTGCATTTTTTATGGCAGCTAGGCGATTCCTGGCTGCAATTTTTCCACTATCATCCTGTTTTGGTTTAGTAGTTAGTCTTGAGACAGTTTTTTTCTGCAACAGAAATTATACTTATTAAAGATGTTCATTATGATCTTCTAAGAAAAATATACATATAATCTTTGATCATCAACTTGAGATTTTAATTAAGAAAAAAATAGAGTGCATGAAACATTTCATAAATTCATCATTTACTCATAAATTCCTAGTATGTGCTAAAAATTACTAAGGCAAAAAAGTAAATGACAAAGTCTCTACTATGGCAGAGGCCTTTGTCTTTTAATTAAACTTGTTTCTAACATGATTAAAGTTGCAGTAGAAGCCTTCCCAAGGTTAGAAAAGAAAAAGGGAAGAACCTGTCCTGGGAATGAAATATAGTTATATGCTTGCCTGTGAAGTTACTATCTGCTTGTGTTCCTGTTTGTTAGCACCAAGGTATAGTGTTAACCCTTGCTAGACAGTGTACGGTAAAAAGAATTCAGTAACTATGTATACATGCCTAGTATTATATCTTTTTTTTTTTTTTTTTTTTTTTTTGACATGCAGAGTGGACAGTGAGAGAAAGACAGAGAGAAAGGTCTTCCTTTTGCCATTGCTTCACCCTCCAATGGCCGCCACGGCCGGCGCGCTGTGGCCGGCGCATGGCGCTGATCCGATGGCAGGAGCCAGGTACTTATCCTGGTCTCCCATGGGGTACAGGGCCCAAGCACTTGGGCCATCCTCCACTGCACTCCCTGGCCACAGCAGAGAGCTGGCCTGGAAGAGGGGCAACTGGGACAGAATCCGGCGCCCTGACCGGGACTAGAACCCGGTGTGCCGGCACCGCAAAGCGGAGGATTAGCCTAGTGAGCCGCGGCGCTGGCTTGCCTAGTTATATATCAATTCCTGTGGATGCCATATAACATTAGACTATCCATGCAATCAAATGTATGCATTTAAGCCACATAAGGGAGGAAAAGAAGCTAAAACCATATATAAAGAAATAACCTTCTTTGTTCCAGACTCAAGCTGTTGGATAAAAAATTCCACCTGGGCCTTATGCCCAGATTACTTCATGTTAAAAGGTCTTTGTGTCTTGTTTCTGTACAGGAATCCTGCTATATACACACTCAGAGTTGACCTAATGGTGGAAGACAGATGTCACATCAGTCAGAAGTTCACAGGGCTGTAGATTTTAAGGACACCTTAACCAATCTTCAGACACACCAAGAAAGGCTTACGGGAAAGGCTATGCTAAAATCACAGTGGGGCAGGCTAAAAATTGGAGTGAAGAAGGGGTTACACGGTCAATAAATGTTTGCAAAGCCAGAAATGAAAGAAAGCATGGAGGAGTTGCCAAGAGATAAGCAACAATTAGACTCTAAAACCTTTTCCATGTAATTCTCTTAAGAAGCTACATTTATACAGAAGACAAAGGAAAATGGAGTTATTGGTGATTTTTAAGCAAGCAACTAATATCAAATTTATGTCTTAACTCTGGCTACAGCTTAGGGAACAGATTCAAGAGACATTTAAGAGGAAGAACGAAAGGGACTTACTGACCCACTGGATATGTATGGGGTGCAGACAGTGAAACACAGAGAGAAAAGGAACAAAGGAGGTACATTTCTACCTGGACATTTGAAGGGATGATAACACCTATCTTTTGAGGTAGAGAAACATGGGTATGTATAGACACAGTTTTAGTTTTGGATATACTGATTTCTTTTTTTTTTTAAGGATTTATTTATTTATTTGAAGGCAGAGTTACAGAGAGGCAGAGGCAGAGAGAGAAAGAGAAATCTTCCATCCACTGGTTCACTTCCCAGTTGGCTGCAATCACTGGAGTTGCGCCAATCCAAAGCCAGGAGCCAGGAGCTTCTTCTGGGTCTCCCATGCAGGTGCAGGGGCCCAAGGATTTGGGCCATCTTCTACTGCTTTCCCAGGCCATAGCAGAGAACTAGATCAGAAGTGGAACAGCCAGGACTTGAACTAGCACCCATGTGGGATGTTGACACTGCAGGTGACGGCTTTACCCACTAGGCCACAGAGCTAGCCCCAAGGATATACTGATTTCTAAGGTATTAAGTCATGGTACTGTAATTCAATCCATGGGGAACTGATTAAAAGAACCTCCACAAAAAACAAAATCCATATGTTCAAGTCCTTTATGTAAAGTGGTATAGTATTTGCATATAACTTGTAAATATCTTCCCATATACTTTAAATCATCTCCAGTTTATAACATCTAACTAATATAAATAGTGGTTATCCTGCAGTGTTTAGGGAATAACAAGAAAAACATCTGTGTATATTCAGTTCAGATAATCAAAAAATGTATTATCAATCCACAGTTGGTTGTATCTGTGGAATGTGGAACCCAAGGTGTGGAGGCTGACTGTATATAGAATCAGAGCTGAGCATTCAAATGTGCTCTGAGACCAGATTTGAGAATCTTCATAGAATGGGTAGCACTGTATAGGAAGAATGTAGATGGAAAATAAGAGATCTGAAGCAGGAATTTTAAATAGTGAAAGCATTTAAGGGAGAAATGGAAATTTTGCAAACATGACTGAAGAATGCAGCAAGGCAGGGGGCAAATTAGCAGAATGTAATTTCAAGAAAGGGAGGAGACCATATTTAGTAGTGTAAAAGGGCTCTATTTCATAACTAAGTATGTAATGCCTTTAGCATTTTTAAAATACATTAATAGCCTTCAAACTGAATCATGTGAGTTGCAGAGATAAATGACAACTAAATTTGTAAAGATAAGGGTAAAGACAGCGTTTTCAGGACACCTGTCTGAGATTGGGAAGAAAGATGGAAATAGAGGGGTACAAATAATCAGATGTGAACCCCACAGATTAGCTGGTTTGTTTAAATGTAAGCAAAGGTAACAGATTTAAAGCTGTTGAAAACTCAATAGAAAAGAGAGGAGAGGAGACTGATGGAATGAGTTTATTAAGTGGGAGTAGGAGGAAATGTTATCAAAGTATAGGTTTTAAAATATTAGCTTCATTTCTCCAATAATCTTAAGTGGTCTCGAAAAGAAAGTAGAGAGAGACACCTGGTGACAACAGACAGAATTACAAGTCTCTCATATGACATGGCCATTATCTGCATCACAGATACTAATTTTTCCAGGCCTAAGTACTCACTGAGAAACACCCACAGTGGTATCCTTCATTGTTTAGATTTGAAATTCATTTCAATCAATTTAGTCACTGTCCTCAGGATCTTTGTCATGAGAATTTATTTTATAATAAGGTTCTTTCAATACTTTTAACACCTTGAATTTCTAATATAGGATTCAAAGCAGTATTTATTTGAATTATATAGTGTAATAAAGTATTAATCCAGACAATTTTGAGTTTATAACCACAGGTGTTTCACTAGAATCGCAAAGAAAACTGACAATGCTAAAATTGAGGAGTGCCTACCTGAATCAAAAACTTTGAATCAAATATTACTAGAAATAATAAAAATGGAATCTATCAGGGCTGGTGTTGTGGCATAGCAGTTAAAGCCACCACCTGTAATGCTAACATCCCATATGGGCTCCGGTTCAAGACTCGGCTGCTCCACTCCTAATTCAGCTCCCTGATAATGGCCTGGAAAACAGCAGAAGATGCCCCAAATACTTGGGCGTCTGCACCCATATCGGAGACCTGGATGAAGCTCTGGGCTCCTGGCTTTGGCATGGCTCAGCTCTGGCTGATGCAGCCATTTGGAAGTGAACTAGCAGATGGAAGATCTGTCTCTTCCTCTCCCTGTGTAACTCTGACTTTCAAATAAATAAATCTTTTAAAAAATAGATCAGGTTAATAAAGCAGATAACATAAGGATAAGTATTAGAGAATTTTACAAGATAAAACACAGGAATGACAGATGCTCTAAAGAAATACTGTTCTTTTCTATTTAAACAATCTTTCATGGGACTGGCATTGTGGCATAGTGACTAAAGCCGCTTCTGCAACATGGACATCCCATTTGACGCTGCTTCAAGTCCCGGCTGCTCTGTTTCCCATACAGCTCTCTGATAGTGCAACCGGGAAAGCAGCAGAGGACAGCCCAAGTCCTTGGGCCCTTGCACCCATGTGGGATACCCAAAGGAAGCTCCTGGCTCCTGGCTTTGGCCTGGCCCAGCCTCAGCCATTGTGGCCATTTGGAGAGTGAACCAGCAGATGGAAGACCTCGGTTTCTGTCTCTCCCCCCACCTCTCTCTGTAATTCTGCCTTTCAAATAAATAAAATAAATCTTTAAGAAAATATTTCATTCTAAAATATACTGCTCAAAAAAAATCACATAAATCAGTTCAGGGGTGGGGGAAAGGAGTATAGGCCTAGTAGTTAACAATACGGATTCTAGGGTGAGAAAGCCTGGCCCTGAAACCTAGCTCCACCTTAGACAAATAATCTTGCTAAGCCTCCAATTCCTCAACCATATAATAAAGATAATAGCATACACCTCATTGCATTGTTATAAGGATTAAATAAATTAACACATGCAAAGTATTTGGAGTAATATTTGGTACATACAAAGTATTATATAAATTATATACTACTGTAATTACTGTAACATTTTTAAGTACTACAGATGAACAAAGAAAACTAACATGTACCCACTCTGGCAGCTAAGAGTCTGTCAGGCACCATCTAGGTTCTCCAATTCAATCATAACCCCCTTCCTCTTGCCCACAATAACCATCCCTGAACTGTGTTGATCACTGCCTTGCTCTTTCTTCAAAGACAATCAGCTCACTGTCAATAATACATGAAACTTAGATTGTTAAATAAGAAATCTGAAGCTGAATGTTTTTAAAACTTAAAAACAAAATTAAATTACAATAGAAGAGTTTATATTAGAAACTTGGGTACAAAGCCTACAAACTTACCCGAGAGACATTTTTGCTGGCATTACTGTTAGTGTTTTGCCACCCAGATTCTTCAAGTTTGGTCAGATTATTGAATTTTTGGTTTACATCTTCTATCTGTTAATAAAACACAAGTTTACCAGATTAATGCTAACCATATTAAAGTTATAAACAAATGAATTGAAGCTTCAATTGAGAATGGTGACTGGCAACTGGTGAGCTATTGAAATTATACTGAATCATTTAGTGTTCAAATAATCTTTTTTTTTTTTTTTTGACAGGCAGAGTGGACAGTGAGAAAAGTCCCCCCAATGGCCACTGTGGCCGGCGCGCTGCAGCCGGTGTACCGCACTGATCTGAAGCCAGGAGCCAGGTGCTTCTCTGGTCTCCCATGCGGGTGCAGGGCCCAAGGACTTAGGCCATCCTCCACTGCACTCCCGGGCCACAGCAGAGAGCTGCACTGGAAGAGGAGCAACCAGGACAGAACCGGCGCCCCAACCAGGACTAGAACCCGGTGTGCCGGTGCCGCAGGCGGAGGACTAGCCCATTGAGCTGGGGCGCCGGCCCAAAGAAAGAATCTTAATGGTAAAATTATTGTTATTTTGGGTCTTAGAAACCTCCGAAGTCTACTTAAAGCAGGGGAGAGGAATGTCGAAATATTTGGTCTGGCCTTGCCAAGGCAGCTGCAGGCAGGACTCGAAATTCATTAAGTCTATGTAGCAATCTAATTTTAAGTTGTTAATTTTGTATGGTCCACGAATGATGTTATAAATATCCAATGGCGCTTGGCAGAAAAAAGGCTCCTGACCCCTGAAAAGATATCACATATAATAACTCTACTGAATTATTTTTGGTCACTAAAATGGTAAGAAAGATATCCTAAATGTTTTTGTTCCTTAAATTACAAAATATGAATACAATCTGTTTTTTCTTCCTTTTTTTTCCTAACAGTTATTCATCACTTCTGGTGCTGAGGACATCTTGGCTGCTTCCAAGTTTGGGCAATTAGGAGTAAAGTTGCTATAAAAACATCCATGTGCAGATTTTTGTATGGACATAAGTTTTCAACTCATTTGGGTAAATGCCAAGCAGCACAATTGCTGGATCATATGGTAAGAACATGTTTAATTTTGCAAGAAACTGCCAACTCTCTTCCAAAGCAAATGTACCATTTTGCATTTTCACCAACAATGAATGAATTCTTACTACCCCACAATGAATTCCTCACCAGCATGTGGTGCTGTCAGTGTGCTAGCTTCGTGTGCTTGCTGCACTGTGGTTAATTTAGCCGCCGCCTCTTTCACTCACTGTCAGCCCCATCCCCTCCAGAACCCCTTCTGGGACTGGATCCCATATACCTCACTTTTTCTTGGTTTATGTCCTTATTTTTGTAAATTATATTCTCAGTTACCTGAGAAAGCGTACATGGGAGTAGATAAAATTTGAGAACTTGTATGTCTGAAAAATGCCTTTCTACCTCATACCTGATTGGTTTCGTATAGAACTCTAGGATGCAGAGTAATTTTTTGAGTATTTTCAGCATATTGTTCTCTCAGCTTTCAAAATTATTGTTGTGAAATCCAAGGCTACTCTGATTCTCAATTCTCTGGATGAAAGTTGTTTTCACTTTGCAAACTTACAGATTCCTCTCTGCATCCCTAGAGCTATACAATTATATTTATGTATTTACTTACTTTTTTCTAAAGATTTATTTATTTATTTGAAAGGCAGAGTTACAGAGAGGCAGAGACAGAGAGGGAAGTCTTCCCTCTGCACTGGCCCAGAAAGCTCCTGGCTTCAGATCAGCTCAGCTCTAGGCATTGAGGTCACTTGGGAAGTCAATCAACAGAATGGAAGACCTCTCTCTGGCTCTACCTCTCTCTGTAATTTTTTCAAATCAATTAAAAAAAAAAGTGCTTTCTAATATCTCATTTAATATTACAGGTATCGAAGCAACCACAGTCTCATTTTACAAGTTACTCTATTAAAAAGAAATTTTTTTTTTTTTTTTTTTTTTAACAGGCAGAGTGGACAGTGAGAGAGACAGATAGAGAGAAAAGTCTTCCTTTGCCGTTGGTTCACCCTCCAATGGCCGCCGTACCACGCTGATCTGAAGGCAGGAGCCAGGTGCTTCTCCTGGTCTCCCATGGGGTGCAGGGCCCAAGCACCTGGGCCATCCTCCACTGCACTCCCTGGCCACAGCAGAGAGCTGGCCTGGAAGAGGGTCAACCGGGACAGAATCCGGCGCCCTGACCGGGACTAGAACCCGGTGTGCCGGCGCCGCTAGGTGGAGGATTAGCCTAGTGAGCCGCGGCGCCGGCCTCTATTAAAAAGAAATTTTAAAGTTAATATATTCAAAGCACTCGACCACATACCTGAAAACTAACCATATCCCAAAATCCATCCAAATCTGTGCAGGTTGTCTCCTTTTCACCTTGTTTAAATTCACAATCATTTACCAATCCTTCAAACTGTTTGAACCTTTCCTTCATAAGGAGTCTTGTTTGACCAACTGCTGTGCGAATAAGATCTTTAGCTAAAGGAAAAAGTAGGATTTTTAAAATTAAAAGACAAAACAGGTCTTTTACTGCAAGCCAATGAACTGGTAAACATTTTACCACAAATATCCTAGGGTTTATAGAATCAAATTCTTAACCTGAAGCAAAACAAAAAATATCTCCCATAAAACAGCTTGCTTCAATTTCTAAAAAAATTAGTATTTTTTATCAACTGCTAAAAAATTAGTAATCTTCCCTCACAGATACATTACAATATCATCAACAGCATTCTACTCATATTTTGTAATCATTCAATCTCAACTCATTGTAATGTAAATACCTAAGATCTTCCCACTGACAGCAAGCACACAAATGATTTTTTTCTAGACAGCTTTCCCCGAAGTAAGATTATGGAAATCTTTTCCACCTCAGTTTAGGCAAATTTTATTCAGAATATGTTTTTATACAATTAAATAATGAGATACTGACATCACTCATAATGTCATAACAACAAAAAATCAAATTAATAAAATACAGACAGGTCTAACTCAAAGGAATGACAGTCAATATTCTAGTTTCTTGTGTATGTTAGGTCACATGGTATTTTAGCACACAGATGTTAGGGAATATTTGTTGAGATATGAAAAATTCTTGCCATTTTGAATAATAATGAATCTATTAACCAGACAGTATTTTTTGTTTCAGATGAACAAAATCATATTAAAAGCAACAATGCTAACAAATTAAAAAAAAAACACACACACAAATATTTCCTCACCATCTTCTGGAATTTCCAATTCAAGCTTTCTGTCCCACTCAAGGCAGTGTGATGTTAATCTCTCAGTTTCTGATTGGAGTACATTTCTAAAATTATGACACATGTTAGTTAGACAAGTGTTTCTCACTCTAGTTTCTAATTCTTGTATGACAGTTGACATATAATATTAAGAAAGTTTTAGTAGATACAGAATTAATTTTCTATAATTGATAATTATTTTATATTCCGTGATATATTAAAATCCACAAATACAGGGGCCTGCACTGTGGCACAGCGGGCAAAGCTGCTGCCCACAGCACCAGCATGCCATGTGGGCACCAGTTTCAGACCCAGCTGTTTCATTTCCAATCTAGCTCCTTGCTAGCATGCCTGGGAAAGCAAAAGAAGATGGCTCAAATACTTGGGCCCCTGTTCCCAACTGGGAAGCCAGGAAGAAGCTCCTGGCTTCTGGCTTCCATCTGGCCCAGCCCTGGCTGTTGCAGCCATTCAGGGAGTAAAGCAGCAGATGAAAGATTTCCCTGTGTCTCTTCTCTCTCTGTAACCCTGCCTTTCAAAAACAAAAACAAAAACAAAAACAAAAAAACAAAAAACAAAAACAAAACAAAAAAAACTCCACAAATCAAGTTAATACTCTATGTATGTATAACCCTTAGGTAGGTAGATCACTACAAGAACCCACTTTTCAATCTAACATTTCTAGTATGTTCTGTTCTCATTTTTCAGAAGCTTACCAGATTATCTGTTATTGTCCATGGAACTAAGGTCAACCAAAGTGCCAAGAATAAACTGAAGGTAGAAACTCTACGCCTAGGATTACAGTGATAGGGCCTTATAGATTCTACTTATTTGTCTAAAATCAGTGGTTCTCATCTGTGGTCAATTTTGATCCAGAGAGGATATTTGATGATATCTAGAAACTTATTTTTTTTAACTTAATGATTTTGGTTCTTTCTTTTAAGATTTATTTTATTTATTTGAAAGGCAGTGGGGTGGCGGGGGAGATAGAGGTGAAATCTTCCAACTACTGTTTCACTTACCAAGTGGCCACAATGGCAGAGGCTGGGTCAGGTGGAAGCCAGGAGCCTGGAACTCCTTCTGGGTCTCCCACATGGGTGGCAGGGGCCCAGGTACTTGCAGGCACATTAGTAAGGCCCTGGATCAGAACCAGCACATCCAGGACTCGAACTCAGCCATATGGGATGCCCGCATTACAGGTGGCAGCTTAACCCACTATGCCACAGTGCTGGCCTAGAGCCTTTTTTGATTATCATAACCAGAATGTTAATGGCCAAGCATGTTATAAAATATCCTACAAAGAACAAGATGAATCCCCACAACAAGAAATGTATAATCTAAAACATCGAAAGTAGCAAGCTTGAAAAATCAAGGCCTAAAGAAAGTTTATTCTGGGGCCAGTGCTGTGGTGTAGAAGGTTAAGCTTCTGCTGGCAGTGCTGGCATCCCATATGGGTGCCAGTTCAAGTCCTGGCTACTCCACTTCTGATCCAGCTCCCTGCTAATGCTTGTAGGAAAGCAGCAGAAGGCTCAAGTACCTAGGCCCCTGCCACCTATGTGGGAGACCCAGATGAATCTCCCAGTTCCTAGCTTTGGACTAGCCCAGCTCTGGTCATTGAGGCCATTCGGAGATTGAACCAGTGGATGGAAGATCTCTCTCTCTGTCTCTCTCTCTCCTTTTTTTTTTTTTTTTTTTTGACAGGCAGAGTGGACAGTGAGAGAGAGAGACAGAGACAGAGAGAAAGGTCTTCCTTTGCCACTGGTTCACCCTCCAATGGCCGCCGCAGCCGGTGCACCACGCTGATCCGATGGCAGGAGCCAGGTGCTTCTCCTGGTCTCCCATGGGGTGCAGGGCCCAAGGACTTGGGTCATCCTCCACTGCCCTCCCGGGCCACAGCAGAGAGCTGGCCTGGAAGAGGGGCAACCAGGACAGAATCCGGCGCCCCAACCGGGACTAGAACCCGGTGTGCCAACGCCGCAGCTGCCCGCAGCGCCCGCCTGTCTCTCCCTCTCTAATTCTTCCTTTCAAATAGATAAATAACTCTATAAAAAATAAAACACACACACACACACAGGTGGGCCTTTGGCCTTGCAGTTAAGCCACCAGTCAAATTACCTATACCTCATAAAAATCTCAGCTTTATTCCTAATTCCAACTTCCAGCTAATGTGCACCCTGGAAGGTAGTAGGTGATAGCTCAAGTGGTTGAGTCCCTGTCACCCATATGGAGAACCTAGATTGAAATCTTAACTGCCAGATCAAGCCTGGCCCAACCCTGGCCTTTATAGGCATACGAGTAGTGAACCAGCAGAGGGGAACCTTCAGTCTCTCTCTGGCTTTCTACTTCTCAAAAAATAAAAACAAAACAAAACAAAAACAAAAAAGGGCACAACACACATACTAAAGTAGAACTCTTTAAGTGCCAAAATTAAATGTTTTCAACATTTAACATTAAATAAAAACAGAATAGTGTGTCTTATACACTATCATTTATATACTTTTTTAACTGCCATATTTGTCTATATATACAGTATCTATCTCTGGAAGTATTCACAAGAAATGAATAGCACAGGCATCTAACTATGAGGATGGGAGACAGGAAGGAAGGAAACTACTCACACCTGTGAGTTAGGAACCACACGAATGTAGTAGTCATTAAAAAATTAATTAAAACTTAAAAGATAAGTGATGATCACCCAAAGTCAGTTTTCCTCTATTCATCTACTAAATTAAGAGTATAAACAATCTACTTTTTTTTGTTTTTTGACAGGCAGAGTGGACAGAGAGAGAGAGACAGAGAGAAAGGTCTTCCTTTGCCGTTGGTTCACCCTCCAATGGCCGCCGTGGCCGGCGCGCAGCGGCCAGCACACCGTGCTGATCTGATGGCAGGAGCCAGGTACTTATCCTGGTCTCCCATGGGGTACAGGGCCCAAATACTCGGGCCATCCTCCACTGTACTCCCGGGCCACAGCAGAGAGCTGACTTGGAAGAGGGGCAACCAGGACAGAATCTGGCGCCCCGACCGGGACTAGAACCCGGTGTGCCGGCGCCGCAAGGCGGAGGATTAGCCTAGTGAGCCGGCCCCTCTACTTTTGGTTTTTAAATGTCTAGATATTAATGCAAAATTCTTATACCAGGAACAAACCAACCTGAAATATGGCACATCATGCTGGGGCTGAGACGTGTAACCTTCATTTACTTCAAGTGATGGGACTTCTTTTATTGGAAGGTTGTTTGAATTTTTAGTAGTAGCTTCATTTTGATTTAAGGCATGTTCTATAAATTAAAATATTAAACAAATTATTAAAATGACATTCCTCACAAAAGTATGTTTTAGAAAATTTTTCAATGTTAAGTTTAAAAAATTTTAAGTTTCTGCTTCAAACATTTCATTCATCTCTTCTCTAAAGTGGCTATTTTTATTTCTTCAAATTTAAAGTTATATGCCCTTTCTCCTCAATCTATATTATATATCCCAACTCTCTCTCTAGATGTCCTGCCCATCTTTTCTGACATTGGGGTCACAGCTCAAACTATATGGTGAAAAGGTTCTACACAAATTTTAAAAACTTATAATCCTGAAAAGTAGGTAAAAAATGTAATTAAAATACTGTACCTTCATTCCAAACTGTTACAGAACCCAAAGGACACTGGAATTTATTTGAATCTTGCTGTACAGTCTTAGTTGAGTATATCCTATGTTTTTGTTCCAAAATTTCTTTTGTTGCTTGAGTTTTATCACTAAAAACAATAAAGATAAACCTCATTAAACTAGAAGTCCATACATTTTGATTGATTGGTTTAAAAATTTTGTTGTTTTTTAAGACCTAGGATAAAATAGAGTAGAAAGTCGATCAATGGTTGGGAGAACACTGTCTCAGGGCAAAAAACTGAAATCCACGGGGCTGGCACTGTGGTGCAGCAGGTTAACACCCTGGCCTGAAACACCGGTATCCCATATGGGTGCCAGTTCTAGACTTGGCTGCTCCACTCGCCTGGAAAAGCACTAGAAGATAACCCAAATCCTTGGGCCCCTACACCCGTGTGGGGGACCTGGAAGAAGCTCCTGGCTCCTGGCTTTGGATCAGCTCAGCTCTGGCCGTTGCGGCCAACTGGGGAGTGAACCATCAGATGGAAGAACTCTTTCTCTGTCTCTCTCTCTCTGCCTCTCCTTTCTCTGTGTAACTCTTTCAAATAAATAATTAAAAAAAAAAAATTGAAATCCATGTAAAGTTTTTCATAATATACATTTTTCCATGAACTTTTTAAAGATCCCTCATTAGTGATAACAAAGCACATGAGGCCGGCGCCGTGGCTCAATAGGCTAATCCTCCGCCTTGCGGCGCCGGCACACCGGGTTCTAGTCCTGGTCAGGGCACCGGATTCTGTCCCGGTTGCCCCTCTTCCAGGCCAGCTCTCTGCTGTGGCCAGGGAGTGCAGTGGAGGATGGCCCAAGTGCTTAAGCCCTGCACCCCATGGGAGACCAGGATAAGTACCTGGCTCCTGCCATTGGATCAGCACGGTGCGCCGGCCGCGGCGGCCACTGGAGGGTGAACCAACAACAAAGGGAGACCTTTCTCTCTGTCTCTCTGTCTCACTGTCCACTCTGCCTGTCAAAAAAATAAAAAAATAAAATAAAATAAAAATTAAAAAAAGCACATGAAATATCAAAAACTGTCAAATACATTATTGTAGACTTCTGAAGAATTTTTTAGGTTTTATTTTTTGAAAGGGAGAGTTACAAAGAGAGGGGGAGAGACAGAGACAAAGAGGTCTTCCATTTCCTGGTTCATTCCCAAGTGGCCACAATGGACAGGACTGGGCCAGGAGCCTGGAATTGCATCATGGTCCCCCATGTGGGTGGCAGGGCTCATGCACTTGGGCGATCTCCTGCTACTTTTCCAGGCAGGAAAGTTGGATCAGAAGTGGGACAGCCAGGACACAAATGAGAACCAATATGGAATGCTAGTGTCTCAGGCAGTGGCTTAACCCACTGTACAACGGCAGCCTTTGAAAATTATTACAAACTGTCATGATTTATAAAGCTGGTCCACTAACAAATAAACAATAACTTTTAAACAGCTTAAGCCAAGTCTAAGAAAGGCACTTATTACTCCTTTTAGCAAGGGACTCATTACTACAATTACATGTAAATATACATATTTAAAGGTTATAATCTTACACTTGTGTTTCTAAAGGAGTCCAAGTACAGCTGGGTGTTAAGAAAGCATTGGCACTTCTGGGAGTCATAGGTGTTACTTGATAGGTCTTTAAGCCATCCAGTGGCTGAAACATAAAATCTTTAGGTGCAAAGGAAATTTTCCCTTTCGTTTTTGCAAGATTTGTCTTAGGTAAGTTTTCCATTTTTGACAAGACTCCATCTGGATCCATTCCATCTGCTGTACTAGTTTGTGAATCCAATATGTTTTCTTCATTATCAACTTCAAAATAAATGACCTAGAGGTAAGTAAACAGAGTAAAGTAAGAATTTCTCTTCGAGGGATACATCTGACCAATTTTTGCAGGTCTGAAACTATGACAATTCAGATTTATTTCACATATATAAAAGTATTTCAGGAAGTTTGTGGGAAAATGGATTAAAAGTTAATTTTATTTTTATGTAAAAGACTTTTTAACTCTATCCATATTTTTTGCAAATTAAGCATTTCCATAAACTTTTTGAAGAACTCTTGAAAAATAAAAACATACAATTTAATGTATACAGGTAATCAAAAGAGCAGCTACACCAAACCACTGCTATGATACAGGAAGACAGAGAACAAACCCTTATTAAAGGAGTAAATGATACCTTTTCAGTATCAAAACAAAATAAAATATATGAAATCTAAGATGGAAAAATTTACTCAACTAACATATATCTTTTAACTTATGCTATTTTATTAGTTTGAGTATTATAAATCTGATATTAATGGATGTCTACATTTATCAAGGACCAAATCTTTTTTTAATAGTCTTACCACAAGAGCAATACTTTTCAATGTGACAAAGTCAGACTAAGCATATTCAGCATGTTTTCTTTTTCAATCATGTCATTGTTACTTGGCTTTTAAACAATTTTTAGAGGCTTCTAGGTTTCTGACTTTTAATGAGACATGAATTCACACCAAGGCATTTCAACTTGGACAAGCTGAAATGATAATACTGTTCCCAAGGACATCTTGGCAGTGAAAATAAAAACATTAGCCCCTAAGGGAAAACTAATCTCGAGGGAGGAACTTTGAAGTCTAATTGGTTTGTGAAGATTCACTTACTACTACCTTCCTTGGAAGGCCAAAGGTAACTTTGATATTTAGCAAGAATCTAAACAGGATACTTATACTTTGGCATAACTTCTTTTCTTTTTTCTCTTTTTGCACCATTATCAGGCTGTAGCAAATCTTTTTATTACACCTAATTAAATCTTTCAATAATGTCTCTAACAGTATCAAACACCACTTCATATCTCCAACACACAGCAGTACTAGAACTGAGAAGCGTTGTATTTCAAGCTTCTGATCACATCACACAGTGACCAGACGAAGCTTAAATGTTCTTTTCTCATGTTATCTAATTTGGCATCATTTCTTTTTAAGGATAATGAATTGTAGCATTGCAGACCAAGGGAGCAGGTCTTCAGAAAAATACTTCTTTTTTGAGGACCTTATTTTAGACTTCATACTAGATGCTATCTGGGATGGTAGTTGATTTAATTCTTACACTATTCTGTATTGGTATTCTATGTTAGAGCTGGGGAACAAACCTGAATTGCATAACTTGTTAGCAGTTATACAGCTAATTATAAGCAACGTTCAAACCCAAGTCTAATTTACTCCAATATCAACATATTTTACCATACACCACCCTATCTCTTAGCTAATTCCCACATAACAACTTTTTTCAGCTGTCCTTTATATTTTTCTCCATCTTATTTCAGTTAACCATATTACACCTTCTCTATTTATAAAGCTCTGGGAATAAGTCATCCAAAGAACAACAGTGACAGGGGCCAGCATTGTGGCATAGTGGGAGAAGCTGCTGCCTGTAACGCTGGCATCCTACATGGGCATTGGTTTGAGTCCTGGCCACTCCACTTTGAATCCAGCTGCCTGCTAATGTGCCTAAGAAAGCAGCAGATGGCCCAAGTCCTGGGGCCCCTGTCACCCATGTGGAAGACTCAGAAGAACTCCTGGCTTTGCCCTTGGCCAACCAAGGCCATTGCAACCATTTGGACAGTGAACCAACAGATGGAAGATCTCTCTCTTTCTCTTTCCTCTCTCTGCATAACTCTTTCAAATAAATCTTAAAAACAAAACAAAACAAAACAAAACAAAACAATGACAATAGTAAATACTTTTGATGCTTCTGTGTGGTTCAAAAGGTTTTAACAGACATGTAGGGCTAACCACTTGAAGGAGATCTGTATGCTTAATTTTAACTTTTAAAGGAAGTGATGAGATTCTCAAAGTATCTAGAAATAAACAGATGTTCATACTCTACCTTGTCAGGATGTGGTTCTGTATTTTTAGCAGGTCTTCCTTTACTTGGTGCCTTTCTTTCTGGTTCATTATCTAAAATGAAAGTGAAGTAAATCTCCAGCGGGAAACATTGCATTAAAAGTACTCAGTAATTGTAAAGGAAAAAAAAAGGGTGTTGGTTTGAGGCCTGGCTACTCCACTTCCAATCCAGCTCCCTGCTAATGTGCCTAAGAAAGCGGCAGAAGATGGCCCAAGTTCTTGGGCCCTGCCATCCATGTGGAAGACCCAGAGAACTCCTGGCTTCAACATGGCTCAGCCCTGGGTGTTGCAGCTATGTAGCGAGTGAACCAGCAGACAGAAGATCTCTCTGTGTCTCTCTTTCTCTGACTCTTTCAAGTAAATAAATTAAAAAAAAATTAGGGGCCAATGCTGTGGTTTAGCTGGTTAAGCCACCGCCTGTGACATAAGCATCCCACATGGGTGCCAGTTTGATTCCTGGCTGCTCCATTTTCAATCCAGCTCACTGCTAATGTGCCTGGGAAAGCAGCTTGGGCTCCTGAACCCATGTGGGAGACCTGGAAGAAGCTCCAGGCAGCTGGCTTTGGTATAGCCCAGTTCTGGCCATTGTGGTCATTTGGGGAGTGAACCAGCAGATGGAAGATCCCTCTGTCTTCCTCTAACTTTTAAAATAAAATTAAATCTGCTTTTAAAATAAAATTAAATCTTTAAAAAAAGAAAATAAAGGGGCCAGCGCCATGGCTCACTTGGTTAATCCCCGCCTGCAGCGCCGGCATCCCATATGGGTGCCAGGTTCTAGTCCCGGTTGCTCCTCTTCCAGTCCAGTTCTCTGCTGTGGCCCAGTATGGCAGTGAAGGATGGCCCGAGTGCTTGGGCCCCGACACCCGCACGAGACCAGGAAGAAGCACCTGGCTCCTGGCTTCGGATCGGCCATTTGGGGGGTGAACCAATGGAAGGAAGACCTTTCTCTCTTTCTATATCTATATCTCTACTCGTTAAATAAATAATAATAATAAATTTTTTTAAAAAAAGAAAATAAAATTTGCTGCCTAGGTACAGCCTGTCCATTTCCAAAACAAAATGAATGTGTTTTACTTTTTTTCTTTTAATATGAAATACATATTATACACAATTAGCACAATACAAAAAAGCACAAACAAAATAACCAGAATATATATTTTACATATATATACACACACATAAACACATATATGGTATGTTTTTCAGTCTCTTCCTATGTCTACATATTTACATAATACTTTTAGAAATGTGATCCTGGCCGGCGCCGCGGCTCACTAGGCTAATCCTCTGCCTAGCGGCGCCGGCACACCGGGTTCTAGTCCCGGTCGGGGCGCCGGATTCTGTCCCGGTTGCCCTTCTTCCAGGCCAGCCCTCTGCTGTGGCCAGGGAGTGCAGTGGAGGATGGCCCAGGTGCTTGGGCCCTGCACCCCATGGGAGACCAGGAAAAGCACCTGGATCCTGGCTCCTGCCATCGGATCAGCGCGGTGCGCCAGCCGCAGCGTGCCGGCCGCGGCAGCCATTGGAGGGTGAACCAGCGGCAAATGAAGACCTTTCTCTCTCTCTCTCTCTCTCTCTCTCACTGTCCACTCTGCCTGTCAAAAAAAAAAAAAAAAAGAAAAACAAAAAAAGAAATGTGATCCTGGGGCTGGCGCTGTGGTACAATGTGTTAAAGCCCCAGCTTAGGCCGGTGCCGCGCCTCAATAGGTTAATCCTCCACCCTGCGGCACCGGCACACCTGGTTCTAGTCCCAGTCGGGGCGCCGAATTCTGTCCCGGTTGCCCCTCTCCCAGGCCAGCTCTCTGCTGTGGCCCGGGAAGGCAGTGGAGGATGGCCCAAGTGCTTGGGCCCTGCACCCCATGGGAGACCAGGAGAAGTACCTGGCTCCTGCCATCAGATCAGCGCGGTGTGCCGGCCGTGGCGGCCATTGGAGGGTGAACCAACGGCAAAAGGAAGACCTTTCTCTCTGTCTCTCTCTCTCACTGTCCACTCTGCCTGTCAAAAAAAAAAAAAAAAAAAAAAAAAAAGCCCCAGCTTGCTGCACCGGCTTCACATATGGGCGCCAGTTCCAGTCCTGGCTACTCCACTTCTGATCCAGTTCACAACTAATGTTACTGGGAAAAACAGTGGAGGATGGCCTAAGTGCCTGGGCCCTGCACCCATGTGGGAGACCTAGAGGAAGCTCCCAATTCCCAGCTTTGGATCAGCTCAGCTCTAGCTGTTATGGCCATTTAGGGAGGCAACCAGAGGATAGAAGACCTCTCTCTGCAACTCTTTCAAATAAATAATGTCAATTTTTAAAAAGAAAATAAAAAAAGAAATGTGATCCTACTGTTCAGATTTTGACCATTTTTCTTTTAATCTATCATAAGCCATGAAACCAAATGTTCTTCTACATTTTTAGTGCCTATGTTGTATTGCTGCAAATACAATAATTGAAACAATGCTTATATGAATTCTGGTCTCCATCATCTGAGTACTCACTGCATGCCACCTGGATGCCAGGGCACAGAACTTACTTTTAGGAGTTAGAATCTTCCATGTTTTCCTCTCTAAGAAGTTCATGCTGACTTTTAAAAACCGAACATAAAGTCTCAAGGACTGAATGTCCTAATGCAGTCACTGATCAGACAACAGTTCTTACCATTAGCAGCTCTTGCACCTGGCTTTCTTGTGGTAGAAGAGACAGTTCTGGCAACCTGCTTTGCTGCTTGAGTAGCTGATCTAGTCATTCTCACTGATGTCGGCACTGCAGGTTGCACAACTATAGGGGAAAAAACCAATAAATTCAAAAGTTCTTTGTAATTGTTAAATGACTGCTATGGTAACATAAGATTTTACAATAACTGCTATTATTCTTACCTGTTCTCTCTTTGTCCAACATTTTCTTTTCAGAAGTTTGCTTTTGACCAGGTCGGATTACTTGAACAATATTCCCATTATTAACCTAATTAAGAAATTAGGCACCATGTGATTTAGTTATACAATTAATCAAAGATTTTAAAATTTGTAAACTGACCTCACATCTGAATTCTGACAATTATGAATAACCACACAAAAAATATATAAACCCAAATGAGATAAATAAACAAGCTTTCTATTATACAAGGGTACTTCAAAAAGTTCATGGAAAATGAGAGTGAAAGGTAAGTTTAGGGACTGGCGCTGTGGCATAGCGGGAAAGGCTGCCGCCTGCAGTGCTGGCATTGCATTTGGGTGCTGGTTTGGGTCCTGGCTGCTCCACTTCCAATCCAACTCTCTGCTATGACCTGGAAAAGCAGCAGATGGCCCAAATGCTTGGGCCCCTGCAACCACATGGGAGACGGGGAAGAATTTCCTGTCACCTGCCTTTAGATTGGCACAGCTCCAACCACTGCGGCCAACTGGGGAGTAAACCAGCGAATGGAAGACCTCCCTCTCTCTCTCAGCCTCTCTGTAACTGCCTTTCAAATCAATAAATGTAAATTTTGAAAGATAAGTTTATTACAGAACAAATAATTTCTTTGAAATTTGTAGTTTCTTCATAATACACATTTTCCATGAATTTTTGAAGATCTCTCATACAAATTTCTTTCTTTTTTTTTTTTTTTTTTGATAGGCAGAGTGGACAGTGAGAGAGAGACAGAGAGAAAGGTCTTCCTTTTGCCACTGGTTCACCCTCCAATGGCCACCGCGGCTGGCGCGCTGCGGCCGGCGCACCGCACTGATCCAAAGGCAGGAGCTAGGTACTTCTCCTGGTCTCCCATGGGGTGCAGGGCCCAAGCACTTGGGCCATCCTCCACTGCCTTCCCAGGCCACAGCAAAGAGCTGGCCTGGAAGAGGGGCAACCGGGACAGAATCCGGCGCCCCAACCGGGGCTAGAACCCAGTGTGCCAGCGCCGCTAGGTGAAGGATTAGCCTATTGAGCCGCAGTGCTGGCCTCATACAAATTTCTTAAACCCCTTTTTCTAGAATTCTAGAATTTATAAAATGCTAATATCTCAAACTAATACTATTTCCCTTCTTGGCCACTTCATTTTTAGTAACACTCTTCAAAACTCTATTAGCAGTACTTTGAAGACCCAAAGGTTTATAAAATCCACCCCACATGTATTTCATGCAGGTAACTTGGAATGCTAATAGGAACCCAGTAAACAAAGAGTGTGACACAAAGACAAAGTTTGGTATGGATCTCATAAAGTACATTTAGACAAAAAGAATATTTTAAGTGAAAGTTAACAATGATTTTGGTGCCCGTTCAATCTAGTAAATTGGTTACTATGTTTGAAGCTGACATTAGATTAAAAGTGAACTTACTTTAAACAAACAAAAATACGAAAAAAGAAAAAAAGAAAGAAAAGCAAACAAAAAAAAGAGAAAAAAAAAAAGAGAGAAAAAAAAAGTGAACTTACTTACCCTGAGAAAAAAAATTTTTTTTTTTTTTTTTTTTTGACAGGCAGAGTGGACAGTGAGAGAGAGAGACAGAGAGAAAGGTCTTCCTTTTGCCGTTGGTTCACCCTCCAATGGCCGCCGCTGCAGCCGGCGCACCGCGCTGATCCGATGGCAGGAGCCAGGATCCAGGTGCTTTTTCCTGGTCTCCCATGGGGTGCAGGGCCCAAGCACCTGGGCCATCCTCCACTGCACTCCCTGGCCATAGCAGAGAGCTGGCCTGGAAGAGGGGCAACCGGGACAGAATCCGGCGCCCCGACCGGGACTAGAACCCGGTGTGCCGGCGCCGCAAGGTGGAGGATTAGCCTATTGAGCCACGGCACCGGCCCAAAAATTTATCATTTTAATAACAATTATTATCAACTATACCTTAGTCTGCTCTGCTTGGTCTTTTGCCTTTGACCTCGTAATCCGCATAGAAGATGGAATAGCCTTAAAACAGTCAAAAGAAGACAAAGTTTAAAAAATAACTGCCAAAGGTTTAACTCCATGTCTCACTATGAAATAAAGTTCTCATTTTATTTTCATTTTACTTATTTACTCAAAGTAAGGCAGTTATACAGAGAGAGAGAGAGAGAGAGATCTTCTATCTGCTGATTCATTCCCCAGATGACCACAATGATGGGGCAGGGCCAAGCCAAAGTCAGGAGCCAGGAACTCCATGTGAGTCTCCCATGTGGGTACAGAGGCCTGAGAAGAGAATCTGGGCCATCTTCAGTTGCCTTCCCAGGTCCACCAGCAGGGAGCTGGATCAGAAGTGGAGCAGTCAGAATGGGAACCCATATGGGATGCTGGCTTCACAGGCAATTCTACCTACTGTGCCACAATCCCAGCCCTAAGTTCCAATTTTAAAGTTAGACTTTATCCTTAATCATTTATGGCAAGAAAATACTTGCTTACTTAAATTGCTATTTTGTTTGGCTTTCACTTACTTCAAATTAAGTTTAAATTAATAATTAATAAGTTTAAATTAATATTAATTTATTAATTAGTTTAATTAATAAGTTTAAATTAATAGCTTCAAAATGGCCCCAAGCCGCCTTTATGGGAGACCAGATGGATTTCTGGGCTTTGGCCTGGCTTAGATTCGGCTCTTGTGGCCATCAAGAGCGAACCAGTGAATGGAAGACACCTCTCTGTTTCTCCCTCCCTCTGTTGCTCTGCCTTTCAAAAATACGTTTTTGTTTTTGTTTTTGTTTGTTTTTTTTTTTTTGTTTTTGACAGGCAGAGTGGACAGTGAGAAAGGTCTTCCTTTGCCGTTGGTTCACCCGCCAATGGCTGCTGTGGCTGGCGCACCGCGCTGATCCGATGGCAGGAGCCAGGTACTTATCCTGGTCTCCCATGGGGTGCAGGGCCCAAGCACTTGGGCCATCCTCCACTGCACTCCCTGGCCACAGCAGAGAGCTGGCCTGGAAGGGGGGCAACCGGGACAGAATCCGGCACCGCAAGGCGGAGGACTAGCCTAGTGAGCCGCGGCGCCGGCCTGTATTTTTAAAAAACTAACAGCTTGTGGCATAGTGGGTAAAGCTGCCACCTGCAATGCCAGTATCCCATATGGGAGCTGCTTTGTGCCCTGGCTGTTCCACTTCTGATCTCGCTCCTTCCTAATGGCATAGGAAAAGCAGCGGAAGATGGTGCTAGTGTTTGGGACCCTGCTACCCACATGGGAGACCTGGAAGAAACTCTTGGCTCCTGGCTACAAATTGTCTCAGTCCTGGCTGTTGCGATCATCTGGGGAGCAAAACAACAGATGGAAGATCTTTCTCTCTGTAACTCTTTCAAATATATAACCTAATCTTCAAAAAATATTAATAGCTTCAAAATACTTTTTGGTGAGAACAAATTTCAAACTATGTTTTCAGGTATTAGATTCTCATTAATTAGGTAGGCAAAATAGGGTAGATGAGCAAATTTTTTTTTAATAAAAAGGCAATTATGGCTCACTTTCCTATTTTTAACAATTTTATTTCAAATCTCATGATTAAGTACTTGTCTACTATCAGTAAGAAAACTGACATCATCACAAAATGTGGAAAAAATTCTGCAAAAAACTGACTAAAAAGTGGTAAGATATTTATTCACTTTGTAAAAATCTCTTAACCATAACAGACTTCTCTAGATCAGAAATCAATTTCTTATCCAAATCTGTGAAAAGCCAGTGCTAACAAAACCAGGCTTTGCCTTAGAGTACACAAGGTAAGCAAAATAAAGAATAACAATCTTTAGCGAATCTTGTTATTTAACACAATCATGCCTGTTTTCCCCCATTTGTAGAACACTTTTTAAATAGCTGTTTATAGTTTGGAACAATGATTGGCATTCTACATATTCTTGAGAAGGCAGTCTAAATCGAGGCCGTCCTTGTTGTTCCTCCAAACAGAAACCATCCTCCCTTCTCTATTATATGTAGAATATTTTTATATCTTTCTGTCCTTGAACTATATTGTTAGTTTTGGTCTCTTCAAAATTATCCTAAGGTCATTTGCAAAGTAAATAATCAAAGATCATCAAGTGAATCAATGAGATTCATGAGACCCAGAAAAGTAGGCAATACTTTGGGCCTGTGCATAATTCAACTCTTATTCATATCAGGAAAGCCTTACTTGAGAGTACATTCAGAAGTTTATGAACAAAATGAATTTAAATGTAGGTTTATCTGGGTGCAAGAAAATTTCAGAATCACCTCATTTCTGACTTAATTTCCATTACCCCTCACCATCCTGTTGGTTACCAGTCCTACCAAATGTATCTCTTACCATGTGCTATATAGATTTCTTCCTTTTTAAAACCACTGACACTGTCCACTTATCCTGGTTCACCTAATCTACCCTAACAGTCTCACAATTTTGGTCTTCTGATCTATAAATGCTTCCTTTTCTGGATTATAATCTTTAAGGCTAGGGTAATCTTCTTGAATTATTAATCTGATAATGGTACTATTTTACATATATACCTCCCTCAACTCTTTCTAACCTACAGGATAAATGTCAAATCCTCTGACACAGCAGTAAGTCTATCACTACCCTCCTATTTTAATCCTATCCTACCTTACCTATAGCACTTTCTAAAGACCTGATTTTCATCCTTCTAAATTACCTATCAACTATTAAGTGCCTAAAGGGACTAAGAAGCAGCAGTTATTTTAATCTTTTAAGGAAAATTCCAGAAAAAAGGAACAATTCCTTTATATCAAATTAAGATACTAAATTTACCTTTTTTGACTCAGCTTTCATAACATTCTGGTTTGATGAAAGAAAACCAGGCTTATCAGGTCTATAAAGACCCACTTTAAATACTCCTCGTTTAGCTTTCTCTCTCTGCTCTTTCAATTTTTGAAGCTGTTTTTCTTCTTTGTATTTCTGGAGCATTTGTTTTCGTTGATCTCCTAGGACAGTCTTCATTGATCCTAAAAAGGAAAAAACCACAATACAGTATATAAGATATTTCACATAAAGGGTTGTGTAAATGTCTAAAAAAATCATTTGTGTCAAACTTCAGCTGCTGTTAAGAAATAATTTTAGCAGGGGCCAGCGCTGTGGTGTAGAAGGCTCTTGTTGTGGCTGCTCCTCTTCCAGTCCAGCTCTCTGCTGTGGCCTGGGAAAGCAGCGGAAGATGGTCCGAGTGCTTGGGCCCCTGCACCTACATGGGGAACCTGGAAGAAGCTCCTAGCTCCTGGTTTTGAATTGGTCCAGCTCTGGTCATTGTGGCCATTTGGGGAGTGAACCAGTGCATGGAAGACCTTTCTGTCTCTCTCTCTATAACTCTACCTCTCAATTACATACATAAAATCTTAAACAATAATAATAATTTTAGCAACAATTCCTTAGCACTCTAAACATGTTTATTTCAATCTGTAATTTTAAAAAGTTTCTATTCCTTTTCTCATAACTTGTTGAAATATTAACTAACTGCTTACCATGTATTATTTCACTATTATTTTTACTTTTTAAGAGATTTATTGGGGCCATTGCCATGGTTGGCAGGTAAAACTGCTGCCTGTGGCACAGGTATCCCATACTGGCATGGTTCAATCTCAGCTGCTCCATTTCCAATCCACTCCCTGCTAATGTGCCTGGGAAAGTAGTAGAGGATGGTCCAAGTCCTTAGGCCCCTGCACCCATGTGGGAGACCCAGGAGAAGCTCCTGGCTTCTGACAGGCCTAGCTCTGGCCTTTGTGACCATCTAGGGAATGAACCAGCAGATGGAATACCTCTCTCTGTCTCTTTCTCTATTTCTGTAACTCGGCCTTTCAAATAAATAAATAAATAAATCTTAAAAAAAATAAAAAAGACAGATTTATTTGAAAGGCAGAAAGAGAGACCTTCCCTCTGATAGTTCATTCTCCAAATGGTCATAACCACCAAGGCTGAGCCAAGGTGAAGCCAGGAGCCAGGAATTTCATCAAGGTCTCCAACTTGGATGGCAGAGGCTCAAGTACTTGGACCATCACCCATATCCTTGTGAGGTGCATTGGAAGGAAGCTGGATCAGAAGCACAGCAGCTAGTCTCAAACTGTCACTCCAATATGAGCTGCCAGTGTCACAAGTGGCAGCTTGACCCACAGTACTGCAACACCAGCTCCATTACTTCACTTCTAAACCAGTTAACTTGCATGTTAGCCAGCCTCCATGCTGACCTCTGGGGATCACCCCCTCTGGCAGTCATGCCCTTGTCCTGGCAGTCATGCCCGCTCCGCTCCCACACCTAACAGACTTGACTTGTATAACTAAAAAGAACATAGAAATGAAAGAGTATGATTTCTCAGATAGGGTGGAGTCTGCCTCTCTCAGATGACTCACTCTGGGGGAAGTCAGTGGCCATGGAGAGCCTTAAGGAGACTTCTAGCAGCTCTAGATGTTCACATAACAAAGAATTTAGGTTTCCAGCCAAAAGCCAGCAGTATCTTGTTGGTTATGTGAATCAGTCATCCTGGAAGCAGACTTTCCAGACTAAGTGAAGCCTTCAGATGCAACCATAGAAAACATCATGACTGCTACCTTCAGAACCATCCAACTAAGCCTCATCCAAATTCCTGACCCACAAAATTTGTGTGAAACAATAAACATTTTTTTTTAAGTTTCTAAGCTTAGTAGTAACCAGTACAACTCCGGAGGTTATTTATTATAATAGATGTGCTCCATCCATTCTCACCTGTTCAAGAACCTTTTCACCTATTATTTGCTTTGCTACACGATTGCTGTCATCAAGAAAACATAAACAGGGAGATGGGGCAGATGGTTAAGCTCCCACCTTCGCTGCCAGTATCCCATATGGGCACAAGTTCATGTACCAGCAGCACCACTTCTGATCCAGCTCTCTGCTAATGGCCTGGGAAAGCACAAAAGATGGCCCAAGTGCTTGAGCCCCTGCTACCAATGTGGGAGACCTGGAGGAAGCCCCTGGCTCCTGGCTTCAGCTTGGCTCAGTCCTAGCCATTGCAGTCATTTTGGGAGTGAATTAGCAGATGAGATCTCTCTCTCTCTCTCTGTGTCAATCTACCTTTCAAATAAATAAATCTTAAATGCTATGGTGCAATAGCTAAGCCTCTGCCCATGGCACAGGCATCCCCTATGGGCACCAGTTCATGTGCCAGCTGCTCCTCTTCTAATCCAGTTCTCTTCTATGGTCTGGGAAAGCAGTAGAAAATGGTCCAAGTGCTTGGGCCCCTGCACCTGCATGAGAGACCCAGAGGAAGCTCCTGGCTCCCAATTGGCCCAACTTCTGCCAATGCAACCATTTGGGAATTGAACCAGTGGATAGAAGACCTTTCTCTCTGTCTCTCCTTTTCTGTAACTCCATTAAAAAATAAAATTTTTTTTTAAATTTTAAAAAAATCAGAAACATGTAATAATTTATCCCAATACACAGCTTTACTGAGCTACTTGCCTTGTTTTCTAGTCATTTATGGCAATAATTATCAAGAAAATTATCTATCTCTATTCCCAGTTCTCCTTACATTGTCTCCTTAACTCAAAATTATGAAAAATATATAAACCCACAAGTAGAATTAAACCCCAGATACCTACCACCTAGATTCAGATTCAGCAATTATGAACGTTCTGCTGTTTTCAAAAGTTCTCCTCTCAAGATTTCATCCCTATGTACAATAGCAGGTACCTCTAAAACATCTCCTTTCTAACTAGTCTCCCTGTAGTCATGCTCCCCATCCTATAATCTGCTCTCAACATAGCAGTTTAAGCAATCTTTTTAAAACACAAATCAGATTACATAAACATCCATTAATCCATTAATGGCATCTCCTTTTCTTCAGCATAAAAGCCAACATCCTGGGGCTGGTATCAGGTAAAGCCACCACCTGCAATGCCGGCATCCCATATGGGCACCAGTTCGAGTCCCAGCTATTCCACTTCCAGTCCAGCACTCTGCTATGGCCTGGGAGGGCAACGTAAGATGGCCCAAGTCCTTGGGTCCCTGAGCCTGTGTGGGAGACCCAAAGAAGTTCCTGGCTCCTGGCTTCGGATAGGTGTAGCTCCGGCCATTATGGCCATTTGCAGAGTGAACCATCAGATAGAAGACTTCTCTCTCTGCCTCTGCCTTTCTGTAACTCTGTTTTTCAAATAAATAAATCAATCTTTAAAAAAAAGAAAAAGCCAATGTCATTGAAATGATGGTCCCCAGGGCTGTCTAGGATTTAGCTTCCTATCTTGACTCATTCTTCTCTAGCCCTGGTTACCTACTTGTCTTCTATGGAACATAGTAGGCCCACTTCCATCTCATCCTTTGTAGGCAGGACATAAGGGATATTTTAATAGCATACTGACATGGTTAGATTTGAGAGGACAAGAGTAGAGGCAAAAACAAAAACACACTTTTGTCTGATTCTTTCTTTTCCCAGAATCACAAAAATGACAAATCTGGCTTTTTTCAGTCCAATCCCATTTTTGACGTAGTCATTTAGCTTGAAGACATTTAGAATCTTACGTGTGTCACATTTTACACTGATCCTAGGAAATGATAAAAACTAAAGCTGTGAACAATTAACTTAACACCTCATTTCTGTCTAAGAAACTTCCATCCTTTGCCTTTTGAGATGCTATCTGTATCTTTTTCTAAGTTGATTCTTTTCTTTAGTTGATCGTTTCCTTCCTAATGGCCCTAAATCCTTTTGGACAAACTGTGAATATGAATTCTTTCTACTTTTCTCTAATTTCCACTGGCAAAGTATTCTTCCTCATGGGTTCTTTAATCATTCTATTTTGTTTCTTATCAATTTATCTTTCAACACTTATCTTACCCAAACTCCCAGAAGAACTTTACAATTACTGTAAGACAGTATAAATGATGAAGTCTACAATACTCCGCAACACTCCACAATCTAGCTAGGGACCTTCACAGCCCTTCTCTTAAATAAATTGTCCAGTGATCTCTCAGCTTCCATAAGGGATTGTTCCAAGGCTCCAATGGATAGAAAATGGCATAATATTTGCCTGTAACCTATATACATTTTCCTATATACTTTAAATCACCTCTAGATTACTTATGAACCTAGGACAATGTAAATGCTATGCTACAGTTGTACTGTTTAGAGAATGACAAGAAAAAAAATCTGTACATGTTCAATAATGATGCAATTCTATTTTAACATTTTCAATCCACGGTTCGTTGACTATACAGAAACAAAAACCCTTCTCTGGGAGAAAGGTCTCAAAAATGGAGGGTTGACTATATATTTAGTTGTAGAGGATATCAAGTTACAATGACATTTCAAAACCTCATTCATCTGGCCAGGATTTGTTTTCGTTTTGCTTTTACTCACAGGCATTAAACCACGCTTACTCCACTCCTCAAAGTACTGAAAATCACAACAGACCTTTACTTACTTGGCTTGGCACTGGCCTTTTCTGGAACAAGCGCTTGAGATGACTCATCTAATTCAACGAGAATTCTACCTTCCCAGTTTGGAATGTTGACATCTTTCAAACCAAAATGTCGATTTCGTTCGTATTCCTTATGTCTGTTTTCTTTCTGAGACAGTGATTTCCTATGAGCAATTTTAGTTCTAATCATTTCAGTGCTTAAATCTTTTCTGTGTCGAATGGCAAAATGTGACGAAGACATCCTGTCAGGGAAAAGGGAAATAGAAGCCAACTTACATGAATTTTCATTTTATTATTTAAAAAAATTAAAGAGTCCAGTTCAAATCCTGTCCCACCTGAGAGCCTCCTGAAATAAAAATTCAGACAAGCAGCTCTGGGCTTACCGCAGAACGCACTGCAGAAAGAAGAGTACAAAGTGCAACTGGGAAGAGGGAAAGGAAATGTTAGGTTTGTATACAAAAGTTTCCATAACCTTCCCCTGGGATGAATGTAGGCAGCCTAACATTTCTCAGGGAAAAAAAAAAAAAAAACAAAACACTATATGAGATGCCTATAAGACATGCATAGACAGACAACTGGATATTTAAGATTAAAAAAAGAGAAAGATTTTCAGGAAAAAAATTTCCATGGTGATACAGAAGGATAATTCCATTAGTTTGTCCTACTGTCTTCATCCATACAAGAAATCATATTGTTTACTCGGCACATATCTTTTCTTAGAAAGATCCTTGAGAACATACTCAAACAAAACAAGGGAGAAGGACACTAAACATGATGTCATGAGTTCTAACAGACAGTGGGCCCAACTGAGAAGGTTAAAGAAAAGAGGAGAGTTGGAGGGGTCACCTATGTGCTGGTATAGAGCACTACCAAGCTAAACTGGACAAAGAGGGCTGATTCTCCATATTGTTCCACACTCAAAGTAGGGAGGGTCCCCCCCAAAGCAAGCAATCAATCGGCTCTGCAGTGGGTGACTAATTCAATGCAATGCTGATACTGTATTCAACAGTATCACAGGCACACTATATTTTTCAACAAAATTAGCCAAAGCCCACTGGAAAACCTCAAGTAAAAGAAAAACTGGCACAAGAAATGCAATTAAGTTACAATTTAACATTACTGTAAGCATCAACAGAGTATAAGAAATGAGAATCTGAGTGGGATGCTTAATAACATTCTTAAGAACCCAGGAGAAGTGATAATGGACCGTGTTTTTCATCAAGAATTTTCTACTACTTTAAAGAAAAAACGAAGTCTATGATTTGTCTCCTTGTGCAAGTACTAATTCGCTAAATATTAAAAAAAAAAAAAAACCTACAAGGCACGTATTATCTTAAAACACAGAAAAGCACTACCCATAGCAAGAGAAGACGGAGACACGGAGGGAGGGAATACAGGCACACTCATCACAACAACCCTAAAGGCAGTTCCCATCACCGCCCTGGCCCAGCTGAAGGAAATTAACCACCCGCATTCGCATGACTTCCAGGCGGCGGCCGCAAGCCAGGCAGCCGGGCTCCTCACGCGCGTCTGAGGCTGTCGGAGCGGCTGCAGCCCCAAAGTCCAGAAGGCGTTAGTCCTGCCTGCCGGCGGGGTCTCCGCCGGGACCCTGTCAGCCGTCACAGGACCCGGCAGGGCGACTGGACGGAACACCGGGATCCGGGACGCTGAAGACCCCGCGCGGGGAAGACCTGCCCCACCACCCCAGAGGCCAATGACGCCACCCAGGCAACAAACATTCACTATGCCGGGATCACGTCATCCGGCGCGCCAGGTACCGCCGTCCTCCGGGGGCCTTCGCGCGAGCGTCCTCGGACCCTTCTAGAACTCACCGGAAGCCGGCGAGCGTCGTCCCCACCCCGGCCCCACAGTACTCACTGACCTGATGGCCCTTCTCGTGTGAAGCCTCCGCCAGAGGAAAAGGGACCCACTCGGCCTGCACGACTTCGGTCTTCCCTGAAGCAGGAACACCTTCCTATCCGAGCCTCGGCAAAATTCAAACTTCCCGCACCGAGCTTCTGATTGGAGGGACTTTAACCAATACTTCCGGGAAAGGCGCCCGCCCCTTCCCCTCACAGAGGCTTGCGATTGGTTCGCACCGTGAAGATGTTTGAATTGATTGACAGCTAAAGGGACGGTTCCAAGGATGGGAGTGAGGGGAGCAATAGGTGGGGCCGCGGCGCGGGCCGAAGCGGGGCGGGAAGTGGGGAGGCTCTGAGGCTGGGCGGCGGGTGCGGTGGCGGGGCTCCGAGCGGCTCGAGGTGAGGCCGCGCTGGGTGCGGACTGTGGGAATCCGCCGCTGAGGCGCGCGGCGACGCGCGGGTTCTACCGGAAGGGACGTGGGGCCCGCCGCCTCCCGGGTCCAGCATTTGCAGGGCTTTTTGAAGTCCTTGTTTACTCTCAAAAATGCGGCCGAGCTTGTTGGACTGCTAAATGGTCTAGGCTTACCCCAGCAGAGTTCGCCTGCCTGCCAGTCAGCGTCGCCGGCGCGCCTTTTTTTCTTGTCAGTTTTTTTGTGGAAGCAGAAAAGCTTCAGTGAAAAACATCGTGTGTGTGTGTGTGTGTGTGTGTGTGTGTGTGTTGACCATTGTACGAGTTTTGATCGAGGTGCAGCCGTGTCCCCAGCACGTCCTCAGGGTGTGTCCTCTGCCGGCGAAGCGCCCGCACTCCCGGTCCGGTCCGCTTGCCCGCGCTGCCGCCACCACTCCCGACTTTGTCACCATAACGGTGAGGGCAGTGGGGTGGCCATCGGTCTAGGGGCTGCGACCCCTGCATCGCATGTTCGAACCCCAGCTCCTCCAATCCAGCTTTCTGCTAATGCGCACCCTGGGAGGCATCGGTGGTGCCTCAAGTAGTGGGGTCCCTGACACCCACTGGAGAGACCCGGATGGAGTTCCCTGGCTCTGGCTTGAGCGTTTGGGGGAGTGAAGAGGCGCAGTCGCACAAATAAATATTTTAAATAAAAATTCTCTATCTAAAAGCATGAAGGTAGTAGGGACTGCCTTCCTTCTCAGCATAATGTATTTGGGATTAACTCAGCAGTTTTTATTGAGAAGTATTCTCATTGAATATTCATTCACATACTAATGGACATTTGGGTGGCTTCCACATCGGGGCTATTGAAGTTGCTCTAAATATTTTTGTACAAGTATTTTTGCAGGCGTATTTTGTCATAAATACAGGTGTGGAATTTCTAGGTCATTCTGGTTATGTTTATAATAAATTCCCTAGCTGTTTTCCAAAATGGTTGTACCACTTTGCACTGCAACCATCCGTGTATAAGGGTTACAGTTGTTGCACATACTTTCCAACATTTCCGGTTGTTAGTCGGACTTTAACCTTTCTAATGGGCGTGAAATGATGTCTATTTTAATTTTGCAAGTTTCCCAGTGACTGAGGGTGAGCATCTTTTCATGTGCTTGTTAACTTTATTGTCTTGTTTTGTGAAACATTTTTTCAATGTTTTGCCTATTTTTTTTTAAAGATTTGTTTATTTATTTGAAAGGCAGAGTGACAGAAAGGCAGAGGCAGAGAGAGAGGTCTTCCATCCACTGGTTCACTCCCCAGATGGCCACAATGGCCAGAGCTGGGCAGATAGGAAGCCAGGAGCCAGGAGCTTCTTCCAGGTCTCTCATGCTGGTGCAGGGGCCCAAGGACTTGGGCCATCTTCTACTGCTTTCCAGGGCCATAGCTGAGAGCTGGATCGGAAGTGGAGCAGCCGGGACTCGAACTGATGACCATATGGGATGCTGGCACTGCAAGTGGCAGCTTTATACTTGCTGTGCCACAGTGTTGACCCCTTGGCTATGTTTTTAAAATAGCAGGGCCGGCGCTGTGTTGTAGCAGGTAAAGCTGCCGCCTACAGTGCTAGCATCCCATATGGACGTGGGGCAGCTCTGGCTGCTGTGGCCATCTGGGGAGTGAGCCAGTAGATGGAAGACCTCTCTCTACCTCTCTTTCTCTCTCACTCTCTCTGCCTCTCCCTCTCCCCCTGCCTCTCTGTAACTCTGCCTTTCAAATAAATAAAGAAATCTTTAAAAAAAATGGGAGTTACCATTTAAAATTTCTTTTTATTATTCATTTGTAGTAACTATGTATTATGGGGTGGGAATACAAGTCAGATATATATATATATATATACACATATATATCTATATATGAATATATTCACTAAGCCTGTGGATGGTCTTTTTTAAAATTAAAACTTAACTTTAGATAGTTTTAGATTCACAGAAAAATTACAAAGTTAATAGAGGGAGGTCCAAATGCCCCACACCCATTTCCTCCTGTTTGGTATGGTACATTTGTTAACAATGAATGAACTGACACTGAGATATTGTTAACCCAGATCTATACTTTGTTCAGATTTCTTTCTTTTTCCCCATTCTCTTTTTCTTTTCCAAGATTCCATCCAGGGTTCCACATTGAATTTAGTCATGTTGCTTGCACTCCTTAGACTGTTTCTCAGACTTTGTTATTGATGACCTTAACAGTTTTGAGGAGTACTAATCATTTTGTCCAATAGCCTACAATTGGAATTTGTCTAAGGTTTTTCTCATGATATTGGCATTATGGGATTTTGGAAGAAAAACCACAGAGATAAATGCATTTAATCACATCACATCACATCAACAGAATATATTATCAACAATTAATCATTGTTAACTTTAACTTTGATCACTTGAGATAGTGTTTTTAGGTGCTCCCACTATAAAGTTTTTGTTTTGCCCCCTTTCTATCCTGTACTCTTTGGAAGGAAGTCAGCATACAAAGCTCAAGGGGTGTGAAGTTAACACTCCACCTCCTTGAGGACAAAGAACATGTCTATGTAAATGTTTTGGAATTCTTGTTTAAAAGTATTTATTTATTTGAAAAGCAGAGTGACAGAGAGGGAGAGACATAGAAAGAGATTTCCATCCTCTAGTTCCCTTCCTAAGTGGCCACAACAGTTGGGGCTAGGCTGGGCTAATGCCAGGAGTATGGAACACTGTTCAAGCTTCCCACTGGGGTGTCTGCTTTCCCAGGTTCATTAGCAAGGAGCTGGATGGGAAGTGGAGCAGCTGGAACTCAAACCATATGGGATGCTGGCTTTGTAGACAATGGCACTGGCTCCTTGAATTCTGTCTACAAGATTTGTTTAGGGCGGAATAGGGAAGGGCGTACTGCTCTAGGCTAGGGATAATTCCTAGAAGACTTGTTTATCTTTCCCCCGTTATTTATTCAGTCACTTGTTTATATGGATTCTGGGATATTTATTTGTCCTTTGGATTATATTCACATACTACTTTTTTTTTATTTATTTATTTTGTTACTTTGTTGTCAGACTTTCAGCCTTGGCCATTGACTTTTTTTTTGACAGGCAGAGTGGACAGTGAGAGAGAGAGACAGAGAGAAAGGTCTTTTGCTGTTGGTTCACCCTCCAATGGCCGCCACGGCCAGCGCGCTGCGGCCGGCGCACTGCGCTGATCTGATGGCAGGAGCCAGGTGCTTCTCCTGGTATCCCATGGGGTGCAGGGCCCAAGGACTTGGGCCATCCTCCACTGCACTCCCTGGCCACAGCAGAGAGCTGGCCTGGAAGAGGGGCAACCTGGACAGAATCCGGCGCCCCAACCGGGACTAGAACCCGGTGTGCCGGCGCCGCATGGTGGAGGATTAGCCTAGTGAGCCGCGGCGCCGGCCGGCCATTGACTATTTACAGTTTATTCTTTTGTCACTTTGAGTATCCCTATCGTTGATTTTGTTTTTGTTTCTGTTTGTTTTCCTGTCTCATTATGAGAATCAGCCATTCCTCTAAGAACCTGTATCTGGGCACTATGTGTGCTTCTTGCTGATGGACTGAAGAAATATACATCTATGCTAATGTGTATTTTTGTGTACATATCTATAAATATTTCTATATGTAAACATCTGCATCTATATTAAACTAATCATGAGTTCATACTGATTTCTCTATCTTGAACCCATTACCCCGTGGATCATTCTAATTTGCTACCCCAATACACAAAAACCTCATGTTAGTTGCCTTTTCTTCCTTTCTCTATTCCTTCCTTCCTCCCTCCAGCTCTCTTTTTTTTCCTTCCTTCCTTCCTTCCTTCCTTCCTTTCACAGAGACATCTTATCCACTGATTACTCCCCAAATTTCTGCAACAGCTGGGACAGGACCAGGCCCAAAGGGAAAGGCCGGGGAACTCAGTCCAGGTGTCCCATGTAGGTGGCAGGGACCCGACTGCTTGGGCCATCGCTTACTGCCTCCCAGGGGGCGCATTAACAGGAAGCTGGAATTA